TACTTGGCAAATGAAGAGTTGGCACTGCTGAAGTACTTAGTCGGACATTTAATTTGTAAAAGTTCTCAAAGTGGACATCGCAGATTTTCACATTTTTTAGCGAATTTATCTCCAGAAGATAGGGATTATCGCACGCTGCTATCCACTTAAGGCAGCGTTCCCTACCTTTTATCATATCGGGAAATTGCCGAAGCTGCTTTCCCTGTCAGATACATCCTCTCACTTTGCACCATTTAGGCGCCATAACACCACGTAAACACACAAAATCACAATTAAAACACCGCGAGGTAACAAAAATCACGCTGATCCATCATGACCACGTGATTGTTACTTCAGCAATTTAAATGTGTCGCTTTCACGGACTTTAAATGACGATGAGTACCGACCGAAACCGACGGCTACCGACACCGAAGCTGAAATTTTCATTCACAATCAGCTGATCGTCTCACCGATACGCTAGATATGTGTGTGTGTGATGCCTACTAGCGCCACGTGGATTTATGTCTCCAACTAAAAACATGGTTCCACTATCCACTTCCCCGCATCTGCGCTTGGCCCCTCTGGATGCAATGATGCATATTCATTTGTGTTGTAACTAGTTGTAATTTTTGTTATATATACCGTGTTCCACCGTGTTCCATCATCTCCAAACATGCATTATGCATTGCTTTAACAAAATCAATTATTTACATGTAAAAAAATGTCTATAGTTTAGGAAAACATAAATAAATATATGTACACAAATTGAAACTAATATGTTCGATAGTTCTCTAGTAAAAAGATTTCAAATATCATTCAATATTATGAGCTTTAAACTAATTACACTTCTAACAATCAAATCAAACGGCTGCTAACAGTACCTCTACAGCTACTATGTAACAATAGTGCTACTTATAAACACTTATAAATATCGCTTGTTATCTCTTTTTCTCTTTAAGAACAGACGAAAATAAACGACGTTCGCAGTATTAGATATGAGTTTCTTTTTTGACTTCATAAGAAATGTGTTCCTCAACATGCTTCAGTTAATTTGGTTCAGCAAACGGAGAGTAACAAATTCGTTGAGTGTATTTATCAAAACGAACACGGGAAATACACTTTCTGTAGATCTAGATCCAAAATGGGATATAAAAAACATAAAAGAGGTAGTGGCCTCTCAAATGGGTACATCTCCTGATGATATAAAAATTATACTTGCTGGAAAAGAATTGCACAACTCGACAATAATAGAGGTACGCAAGTGTAATTTAAATAAAAATGTCATCGACAGTTTATATTATTTTAATGCGCGTTGATCACACTTGATTATGATTTTTTCTACATGTTTATGTAATGTACATTTTATGTAGGTGTTATAAATTCATACAAAAATATACATTAATAACATATGTCGCTTCTTCTGACATTCTCTGCATTCTTCTAGGAATGCGATTTAGGCCAACGGAGTATATTACATGCAGTTCAAATTCCATCCAAAAAACTTAATAGAAGTAAAGATACAAGCACCATCGAAGAATTTTCAGAGTCATCTGAATTAAATGACAGCGGTGGTAAACCGATGAATGAAACTCTTACCGATTTACCTTTTGATGAATCTGATTTGCAAGAACATTCAACCGCGAGAGGTATAGTAATCTTTATGGTTACACATAAATAATTAAAATATATGTCTTTTGAAAGTAAACATTTTTTATCCTTTTGTTCTGAAATGATTGCAAGAAAATGCATTTGTGTTGGTTAAAGATAAAGATCCATTTTAACGATAATCAAATGTGAAAATCCATTCTTGTCTGATAGATACTTAATGTATAGATTATATAGTATAGACACTTAAATATATTTTACAACAAAAGGATTATGGTATAACGGACTGCTAGCATATTACAAAAATATTACTGTAGTATTACCATTTATAGAACAGCAAGGAAATCGAGCACATTTTTTTGTGTTTTGTTCTACGCCGTGCAAAGCAGTTACAACAGGAAAATTAAGAGTGAAATGTGCAACTTGTAATAGCGGAGCAGTTACAGTAGATAGAGATCCTCAATGTTGGCCAGATGTATTAATGCCAAAGAGAATAACGGTTCATTGTGAAAATGATTTGTGTCCAGCACCTATATTATTTTCTGAAAATGATACAGAATCTCAAGTTTTATACGCTCGCTTCTATTTTAAGTGTTCGAAACATATTAGCCTAGGAGAAGGAGATGAAGCAGTTCCGCTTTATCTTGTAAAACCAAATTTAAGGAAGATACCTTGTCTCGCATGCACAGATGTCAGGTGATTAATCCAAGTATGATATATATAGCATGTAGTAATAATAATTTGTAATGGTTCATCCTTTTATATAGAGATATAGTTTTTGTGTTTCCATGCGAGGCTGGTCATGTTACTTGTCTCGATTGCTTTAAAGATTACTGTTCGGTACGTTTAAGAGAACGTCAATTTCAATTTGACGATACCAAAGGATATTATACTCTTGGATGTCCAGCAGGATGCCCAGATTCTTTTATTCCCGAAGTTCATCATTTTCATCTTCTTACTCCGGAACAGGTATTTCCACGAATACAGTAATCAACTGATCCACAAATATTCTACTTGAAATATTTTGAGTCTTTAATAATGTATATATTATGTATAGTACGAACAGTACCAAAGATTTGGTACGGAAGAATATGTTTTACGTGCTGGTGGCCTCTTGTGTCCAAGACCAGATTGCGGCATGGGTATTATACCAGCATCTGTAGATGATGGTAGCAATAACGATGAGTGCAGAAGGATTCAATGTATTGGTGGTTGTGGAGTATGTATATAGAAATAAAATATTTTGCTGATATAACAGAGCGATATAGCAACTATCACCACTTTACAAAAAATAAAATTTTAATTGCTCACCTAAGTTTATAGCTTTACTCTAATTTATAGCTATATAGTTTATAGCTTTACTCTAATTTATAGCTATATAGTTTATAGCTTTAATCTAATTTTTCTCTCCATTCGCAGAAAAAGAGGATAATCTTTACTCTTTTATTAACATTTTATATTTTTTTCTTTATTTAATAATAAAACGTTTATGAAGCTGTATTTATATAAAATTCGTTTCTTATTCGTACTTGTATAAATTGCTTGGGCAACAGACAGTTTGTCCAAAAAGTCTTAAAACATGTTGTAAATTAGAAAATAATTAAAGTGCTAATACTTGCTGGAGCACCTTGTGTAAAATTTAGCTAATAATAAAATGATCAATAATGCATTCTGTTAAGTACGTCTTCTGTAGGAGATGTTTACAAGGATTCCATGTAGGAGAATGCGAAGTGCCATCACCCGAATCTCCAAATTCGATATTAAAATCTGATGGATATTTGGTGGATCCGCTTAAAGCTAAAGATGTATGTAAAAGAATACTATTTACATTTTAGCCATTTATTAAAAGGAGAATTAACTGCATAATATTCCATTTAGGCGAAATGGGATGAAGCTACCAAGAAAACTATACAAATATCAACAAAACCGTGCCCAAAATGCAGGACACCAACTGAAAGAGATGGTACACGATATATTAATCCATAAAAGATTAAGAGTTTCTTTGCGTTAATAATTTTACAGAAATGAAAATGTTGTCTTCTAGGTGGATGCATGCACATGGTTTGCACAAGAGCAGGCTGTGATTATCATTGGTGCTGGGTATGTCAAACTCAATGGACAAGAGAATGTATGGGTAATCATTGGTTTGGTTAACGCGTAGTGGTTAACCAGTATTCAAAACTATCGTGTATCATTGTAATATTATTTTGTACAAATGTAAAAAAGAAATTTCGAATAGCATTTTTATTAGAAAATAAATTCCAGTCATATGTACGTTACGTATAGAAGGAATATTTTCAGGATTTAAATGTCTCTTGAAATAATATGTAGACAGCATTACTGTGTTTTTCTTTTGATTGGATTATTCTCTAACTGTACAAATAATTAATTTATCAAAATTGTTTTTGTTCTCCAAAATGTTGACGACGACAAATTAACCACTGTATACATAATAGTTATATGTAGACCTATATCTGCATATAAATTTTGGTAAATTATTTTGAGGCAAGCGTTCAAATAAATAATTGTTTCCTAAAAGCAAATATGTAATTTGATGATTTAATCGTACATGTCTAATTGTAAGAAAGTAACGATACATGCTCGTTTAGTATATTTTATTTCAACGATTATATTATTCGATACATATCTAAAAACATTAAGACACGATCATAGGACGGATTGATTTCTCGGAAATCGGAATTAAATTGATGCCGATAATCGATTGCAAAACACATCGATTACTATTGAAACAGTTTGTAAAATAAAATGTACAAACCGTTTAATTAATCCCATTAGAAACGTTAAACGCTATTTCTCTTCTATCGCGTGGTATCAATGTAATTTTCGTATCTCGATCTTGTGTGTTGTATTCTATACTTAACGATAATTTGATATATCTATACGTACGGTAGACTTTCGGTTACTCGGCCCTATTTCGACCGATCGCATTTTCAGATAATCTATCTTCAGATAAAAACAGTCTGTCGGTAAATAGATCATCGACACATTACGCGATCATTCCTTTTTGTCCGACTAAATGTATTTTTTTATCTTATCATCCCAGTAATCGTTTAAACAGTCTTTCTCTCGTTAATTTTATTTTGAATTTCGATTTCGTTTACAGCACACATATCATTAAATTAACGTTTTTATGTGGTACAAGTAGATCTTTACCATTTCTTTATGCTATATAAATATTACATTTTCATTAGTCGTATAAATTTATCATAAAGAACATTTTCGTTGATCGTATTTATCCGAATTTGTTAATCTGTCTGCGCAATTGTATATGCGAATGCATACTTTAAGTACTTGGCCAAATTATTTATTTAATTTGGAAGTATCGTTGAATCGTTAAAGCTGTTTCTCTCGGTGTTGTTAAAAACGAAGATACAGTATAGGTTCCTATACATATGCATGCATAGATTATTTGTAGGAAGAACCGATAAACGATAATTGGCATTCGTTTTTTCGGCTGAAAGGTCTGGTCGTATAAGGGTTGTCCAAGTAAAAGTCTATCGTACTATTCGTATTGCACTTAAACGGACACTGTGTACAATTTGATATTTATTTTACGCGTCGGTTTTAATTTCCGTTTAATCGTCTAACTATAAAAAGAAATGTAGAAACGTCCGAATAGCTAGGTAGCTAAGTAGTATAAATAAAACTAGTCGCAGTTGTATCACATACTTGAATCAAATCGCCGTAGTTTGGGGAGCAGGCGGTGGTGTCAATGGTGTCCAAGCGGCGGTTTGATGATCGTTTGTTGGAATGTCTGACTCTTGATGGTGATGTCTATCGATAACCGTTGTCAAGTATCTTCTGTTCTCTTCCGACTGTACATCATTTAGCGTATTCGTATTTTGATCGGGGTAACTGACCGGTATATGATGCTCCTTCGGAGGAGTATCGTATTCTACGCTGACAGGAGATACAGTTCCGGTCTGTTGAATCGGTTGTAAATGCAGCATTTGAGGATGATGGTGTTGCTGATGACGGTCCGGTGTCGTTGATTGGACAGGTGTCGCCTGATACTCGTGAACGTATTCGTCGACCGGAGGAACCGTGCCGTCCATCCCGTTTGGATGCAAAGAGTGATGCAAGCCGCCGTGTGAAACTGGACCGTACGATGACATCTGGTGATGCAAGTGTAGATTCAAGTTTAAATAAGATTGTTGCTGTTGGTGTTGTTGTTCCGAAAGGGTGGTGGGGTGAATCCAAGTCGAAGTGTCCGTGCAATGACCGTGTTCTTGAGGAACTGAAGATACGTTGGTCGGTACGTAGAAAGCGCATCCCGTTGCGGTAGCCGTAGCTGTAGTCGACGAGGGTGTTCCCAAACTGTTTCTGCCGAATATTCCATGCGAGGTAGAAGTTGGCGATGGCGAAGGCGACGTTGCCCATTCTTGGCTAGGCGGCAAACATGCCGGACTTGGGTTTTGAAGAGATTCCGGACTTCGCGATGACCATCCCGATGCTGTCACATACGCCGTCGAGTGTAACAGCTGTACTGGACTGTACGGATCCGTCCTTTGTTCTGCAATTTCAAGTCCGTTCGTGTGTAAATGGGGAAATTACATTAGGAGATGAAGTATTAAGTGTTTCTTGGAATGTTTATTTTTCCAGGGAAGAATTGATTTTACTGATTTTATATAATAACTTTTATGTAGGAATATTTTAGGTACTAAGAAATATTTGGTAATTTTTACAATTCATTTCACACAGGAAGCTTTGAGATGCCGCATTTTTAGGAACTACTTCATTTATCCAAACCGTGGGAATGATAACTCAAAAACTAATCGACCGATCGTTTTCAAACTTTGAATGCGTTTACTTCATTTAACCCTTTGCGGACGGGACACTCTGAAGCGGGAGTGTCTGCCTGAACGGGATGTCTTAAGGGCATTTCGTGGGAAATTACAATACGCACGAAGATTCGTTTGCAACTATTTCGTAGTATATAAACAAATGTTTGCTAAATGATTTACAACACATGTATTAGACTTTTTATTAATAATTTCAATTTTACAGTCTGCCACACAAGAGCGCGTCGTTTATATTTTTGTAAATATTTATGTATTTGTACAAAATTTTATATGGGTCGAATGTACACCTAAAACATTAATACGCATTTACCTAGTAAGGTGTCCAATCTCCTCTATTAGCAATTATAGCTTGGCACCGTCTCGGGATGCTCTCTACTAATTTGTCAAAAATTGTCTGCCGTCGAAAGTAGTGATTCTGATTGAAGCAATACAGTGTTCAGTGACGAATCTTTGTTTTGGGCTTGGTGTCCTATTAGACATGCTTGGCCTATCCGTGGAAAAAGAGTAATACAAAGAAGTGTGAAACACCTCATGAAAGTGCATGTTTGGAGTTGCTTTATCGCACGAGGTTTCGGGACTTTATGTATCTTCACTCACCATTTGACTGAACAAACAATGCTGAAATGATATCAAAGGGGACTTGTCACATCCATGAAACGTTGGTTTAATCAAACTAAAGAATCAAATCAAACCAGTGGATGTTGCAAGAAGACAACGCCCCTAAACATCGAAGTCGCGTTTGTAAATGATGGAAAGAGGAACCTGGCACCCGACTTTTCAAAAATTAATATTTTTTTATAGAATATTATAGTATTTCGTTTGTACTTGATTGTACCACCAATAGTTTCGTTTGTACTTTCATCAATTAATAATTAAAAAAAATTCAATAAATGGTCAGCAGCCGACATTGAGATTTTTGAAATCTGTTTTTTTCCCTATTCTTTAGAATCGTTTGTACCCGTTTGTACCGCTTTTCGTTTCGTTTATATCTCAATAGTTTAAATTATATAGCAATTGCTGATCCGCGTAAGGGTGGAAATCGTCAATTTTCAAGATTTTTAAAATCTGTTTTTAAACATCAAACAAACGATTCTGAAGACGAGGGAAAAAACAGAGTTTAAAAATCTTGAAAATTGACGATTTCCACTCTCACACGTATCAACAATTGCTTGTAAAATTTAAACTATTGAGGTACAAAGAAAAGGAAAAGCGGTACAAACGGGAACAAACGTTTCTAAAGAATGGGGAAGAAACAGATTTCAAAAATCTCAATGTCGGGTGCTGACCATTTTTTGAATTTCTTTTTAATTATTGGTGGTACAATCAAGTACAAACGAAATACTATCATTTTCTATAAAAAAAAATGTATGGTCCATAATGAAGTACAAGGTAAAAGGAAGGCGTATCACCAAAATAAGAGCAATTGTACACCATATTTGAAAGATATGAAGGTCTCTCCAGCATCTTACCCCGAAAAATGAATAGAAAGCATGCGGAGACGGTGCCAAGCTATAATTGCTAATAGAGGAGATTGGACACCTTACTAGGTAAATACGTATCAGTGTTTTAGGTGTAGATTCGACCCATATAAAATTATTTACAAATATATAAACATTCACAGAAATATAGTCGACACGCTCTTGTGAGACAGACTGTACATACAGTGGATGTAGAAAGTATTCGTACACCGATTAATTTCCAAAAAAAATATGTGAAATTGTAATTGATTAACTTTATTTTTATAAACAATGATATTCTACATATTCTTGGAAATCTCTAGAATAGATACAGTACGAAAAGATTAGGTATTTTGTATAAGTGAGAAATCAACAAGAAAAAACAATAAATCGATAGAAATACAGAAGCAATATAGCAATTTATAAATAATTAATATTTCGTGGGATTTCCTTTTGATTTTATAATTACTGCAACTCTTTTAGGCATTAAATGAACTATCATCAATGTCGATGTTATTCGGGGTGGGATCTACTTTCATTCCTTTATTAGAGCATTCTTAAATCGTTTTTACTGGAAGTTTAATGTTTTCTAATTCCCACGAAGCAATAAACTGATGTCCTTATGTTACAAATTCTACTGCAAATTGTTAGTCATAAGAACCGTGTGAATACTTATTGCTTTTATATTTCTACCAATTTTTCGTATTTTCTTGTTAATTTCGCAAATTATATAAACTAGTCATTGTTGTTTGAACTATATTCTAGAGATTTCTGAGAATATGCAGAATGTCATTGATTATGAAAAAAGGAGTTAATAAATTAGAATTTCACACAAAAGTTTTCTGGGAAATTGATCGATGTACGAATACATTATACACCCACTGTATTTAATACGAGCAACAGTAAAACGGATTTTCAGCGTTATCGTTACACGTAGCGTAAACGATTTAAAAATGATCAATCTAACGAAGAAGGTAGCGTCTTAAAGTTGACAACAGATTCAGGCGTCTTACCATCTTGAATGTACTTATGCCTGAGCGTGTAAGGCGTCGATCTGCAAGTATTTCTATGGCCAACCGTAGAAATTGTGCACGTATTCGAGAGATGATTATTGACTGTCGCTGACGCTTGATTCTGGACAGCTGCGATCGCTGTAGCGGTGTTGTACTCGTAGCCCATACCAGGTTGTGGTAAAAACCAAGCACCTGTGTCTGTAATCCATTAAACGATTTAAATGTCGAGCGTGCCGTAGCAAAAATCGGCCACACGTTGATTTTACATTTGCACGCGAGACTCGCTTCGGTGACAAATTGGGAACACGAAAACAATGAAAAGTGTTTGTTTAAACATGTGCCATATTTAACCTTGTTCTCGAGTTATAGCCATATTTCTACACCGATAATGTACAGTTGTTGCTTACCTTCGCAAGAAGCGTTCGAAACGGCCACCATCATAGTTTCTCAAGCTTTCAAATCGATTCCATCGATTTCGTTCACAGCCTTCTCGTTCTCGTACATATGTACACTGTACACGTTGCCAAAGTGCTTCGACACTGGCAACGGGTGTCGAATACGCACAGTTTTTTTTTAGGTGGCCGCAAAAATAATAATCCAGCAGATTTAAATGTGACAATGAGGGTGAGCAGATCAGTTAGAATATCGTGCGTTCGAGAACTGTCTGGCTACTCGGCTGAAATAAGATGGTGCACCATCATGCATAAATTACATGCGACGTATAACATCTAACGAAACTTGTAATTCGTACAACTTTAGAAATTTAGGAAAGACGGACTCGTTGATTTTCCATTACCATTTCGTATAAGGAGTTGAGAGTAGAATCGGTTATGTTACGCTGTTATGGTTTGGTTTGTAGATTATATCTTATATATGTGTATACAATATAATCTAGGCGAATATCTTTTGATATATTTTAAGGTCCTTTTAAACGGTCGTACCTGTTCTCAGTTCAGTTTTAGTTTCGATGGAACTGTCAGTTTTTCCTATGTGTAAAAAGTAAACAGTGAAAGAAAAATGGAGACTGAGAACTAACGAGATGGATAGACCTATTGGTTTCTTTATATTTATTAGAATTCCTATGTGTAAAACAAGAGCGTAACGCTTCGCATCAGTTTTCTTGAAAATCTTGTACGGTATAGACTTGTCGCTATATTTGGGCTACAAAGAATTGAAACGACTGGAAACAGTGAGAACTGAACGGAACATGTAAAAGAATCGAGTTTTCCGAACTGAAATGAAACGATAATAGAAACTGAAACTGAGCTGAGAACAGATATAAACGTCCAAAAGGACCTTAAAAGGATCTTAACTCCAAGACGGAACCTACTTCCGACTGATAAGCGCTGTATCCACGATTCGAAGTTGTTACATTTGCTATAAACATTGAACATTGACTTTTACACCAAATACGGTAATGTTATTTTCGTCGATCCTCCGGGTCCGGGACTGAGGACGAGAAATCCCGTTTTCGTTTGTCACTACGAATCTATTGTATCGCTAGATTTTAAATGCAATCATCGACGTTCGCCGATTCTTTCGAAGCATGAGATGTTCTATCTAAACAATGCCGAGCCAGCAATTCGAGTAATTGGTAGATATTAATAATATGACTTTAGAAATATGGTCTAAAGTCTAAACTATCTACATTATAATCGAAACTTTTTACTCTGACTTTCATACTTTTCCAGGTTTTCATTTATCCGTTCTCACTTGAACGAAACGCACTCTATGACGAAATAATATGTCTATAAAATGTATGTAAATACTTGTCTACGTTGCCGTTATTATTAATTATTTTATATATACATAGCGTGTATTTTGTATATTTTTCAGACATAAATGCATATTTTACGTACATAAAAAGCGTACGCTTTTTACATATTTTACGACGGTGAATTATTCTCGGTCAACCGAGTGAGACTTGACAAAATGTAAAAATGACTATAACTCGAGAAGAAGGTGTTGATACGTTTATATAACCTTTTTCATTGTTTTTGTCTTTCTAACCCACTATCTACTAAAACGGATTCCACGTTTTACGTGGCACATGTATGTCGTAATCCTGAAATTAGCATATGGCGAATTTCAACGATTGGTATGTATGAAAAGCGAACCCTATTATACGTGTAATAATAATAATAATAATTTCAAATAGTTCAACTTACATTGGGGATAAGTCTGCGGATCGGGAGGTCTTTCCTTGGCATCGAGGAACGCTTTAGCGAAAGGGTTGTATTTGATTTTCAGATTCGTCACTTCCTCGTTCTGATAAGCCGTCACTGCTATGAACTGTGTCTCAGGGTATCGGTACGTAAGAACCTGAACGTATACAGATTACATTTTTTAGAATGAAATTAATCGTCAATTAAATTTCTGTATACTCTTGCTCGAGTAAGTATCGACGATACATAATTAGGTCGAGTCATAAGTAACTTTCGATTCAGCTAAATAGAATCTCATTATTCGTATCTACTAGAGATCACGGTTTTGACCGGGTATTAAAATACACGGGTACACGGAACACGTACGCATACATCGAATTATCTATTGTTACCCGTGACTTGAATATTTATTTTAACTAGTAAATAAAGTTTTACAAATTACACTAACAAATTTATTCTGTTATATTTATTCTTCTTATGTTTATATTTTGCTTATTTATTTATTTTACTGCATATCAATCTTTTTAAAATTAATAAGGATCATTATTTTAGAATAATAGCTTTTTTATATAAAAGTTTGTATATAAAAATAACTTGATATTGTACCCATGTAATTCGATGTATGCGCATCCGTGTATTTCGATGCACGTATATGTACCTGGATATCCGTGTATTTCGATACCCGGGTACCCGGGTATGAAAAATACACGGATTAAAACACGGATCCATTAATTACGGATCCAGATCCACGGATCTATAATCCCTAGTATCTACCCACTATGAGTTACCATAACAACAAGTTTTTGTTTTCACTATATGGACGAGGCTTCTGTTAGTCTTTTGTCAACTGTTTTGTGTGATACACGTTACGTTAAACTGGTTTTTTTTTCACCTCTGAAATGGATAGTCAAAAAGTACATATTCGTCATGTAATGCTTTGGGAATTTAAACAAGGCAATAGTGCTAAGGCGACAGCTGTCAAAATATGCAGTGTATATGGTGAAGGACTAATAACTGATCGGGCAGTTAGAAATTGGTTTATAAAATTCCGTTCTGGAGATACGACCTTAAAAGATGAACCGAGGGTGGGACGTCCTTCCGACTTTGACGACAACCTTTTAAAGGCAATATTGGAGCAAAATCCACTTCAATCAACAAGAGGTATAGCAGAAAGGTTGAATACATCACAATCAACTGTTATCCGCCACCTGGAGAAGTTAGGGAAAGTCAACAAGTTAGGAGTATGGGTACCTCACAATCTCAGTGAACGGAATAAAAAAGACCGCATGTCAATCGCCACAAGTCTGCTCTCACGGGTAAAAAATTAACCCTTTTTAAACAGGATTGTAACAGGTGATGAGAAATGGGTTACCTATGACAATATGTCTGCAAAAGACAGTGGCTTGATAAGGATCAACCACCCCTACCAGATCCGAAAGCAATCATCCATGGCAAAAAGATTTTACTGTGTGTATCGTGGGATTGTCAAGGAATAATTCACCACGAATTGTTAAAGTTAAATTGAACGATTACTGCGGATAGATACGTTCAGCAGTTGCAAAGAGTGCAAAAGAAACTCCATGAAAAGCGTCCTGCACTCGTCAATCGCAGAAACGTCATTCTTGTACACGACAATGCGCGACTACATACAGCAAGGGTGACTGAAGAAAAGATTCTTGAGCTTGGATGGTCTGTTTTACCACATCCACCTTACTCCCCGGATCTTGCCCCGACAGACTACCATCTTTTCTGTTCCTTACAAAACTTTTTGAATCGAAAAACCTTAAATTCTGAGGAGCAAGTCAGGCAGGCTGTCGAAAACTTCTTCCAGTCCAAACCAACCACATTTTACAAGGATGGAATTGATAAACTCCCAAGAAGATGGGAGAAGGTTATAGATAATAGTGGTGAATACATAATAAATTAATATAATATTGTTATTTAAAGAGAGCAGAATAAATGTCTGATAAAGAAACGGAAGTTACTTATGACTAGACCTAATACATATAAGTACATACCGTGTGTTTGTGCGATGTTAATGTTTCTGAAAATTAAGAGACAAAGTCGCCACATAGCATACGTGTAGTCGAAGAATACTATGTAACAAATCAACCTAAAAAAAGAAAATGAAGAAAAAAAAAGGAGTGAACCGAATTTATGGTTCCGCTCGTATATGTGTGTAATACATACAGGGTGTGGCAGGACAGGTGGTACAACCGAGCAAAGGGTGATATTACATGTAAAAATAAGTTGAAAAAAGGAATAACATTTTTTCGAATGACGCTTCGTTTTCGAGAAAATCGAATTTGAAAATTCTATCCAGTACGCCTACACTGGACTATCTCCCCAAGTCATTGCTTGCTACAAGTTTCCTTTTGCTTACATGTTGTAATATTGATATTTTCTAATGTTTATATTTTGTCTTCAGCCATACGACTTTCTTCTACTTTTAGTCTGTTTCGATCAGTCAAGCTGTGACAATGTCTACTTATAGCAACCGCGAATACGTCGAAATGATAAAAGCATTAGGAAGCTTGTCATGAAATGCAACAGCAGCAGCTGAATATTATAGGCAACAATTTCCAAATTGCGGAAACAAGTGAGAATTCTCTTCAGCTGAAGGAAATAGTAATAAATTCTTTTATTTAAATAAAGTGTCGAAATTCATTGTCAGTTCATGACTCACTAATAAGGCGAGCAATGATATGTACGCGTAATGTAATGTTATGCAATTAACGTTAGAATAATTTAATTATAACATTTCTTATCTACACCTAGAGACGGTACAGTGCACGCGTACTGGATCCAATTTTCAAACTCGATTTTCTCCAAAACGAAGCATCAAACGAAAAAAACGTTATATAATATTTGTATACTTAAAAAATTCTCACTTAGTAAATCTCGCTATTATTTCTCGTTATACTGTAACGAGTTTTCATCTTTCCCGAAACTAACGTTAATTCGTTTTTTAAAGTGTATCGTTCGTTATTCGTGGTTTCGATAGAAAAAAGGGCCGTTAAATAATATCCCGCGAGCGTATATCGGTTTTGTTATTAAATTTCCAAGAAAATTAACACCGCGCAAACACTGACTATGCTACGATTGAATTGTTGGAGTGTACGTCTAATGTTGTACCGTTCGTTGCTCCACTGCGTCCACGCGCACTAAATGAACACGTGGCTCGTATTTGTGCAGCGAGTTGAGCATAATCTGTCCGTTCCCGTTAGATTTGTTCGTCAGCTTCACTTTGGCGAACGACACCGGCTCCTTCATCCAATGGGATCCGAAATTCGGACTCTCCGGGTGGATGTAAATCGGATTCGGTGGAGCGACTTCCGCCTTTCCACCTGGGACCCATTCGCCGTTCACGTATTTCCATCTACGAACATGATACGTACGTGCATACCTACATCTTGTATGTATTTTTACATTTACCCATCTATGGGCCGAATTTTTTGTTTAACTATACAGGGTGGACCGATTCATCTGAAGACATTGAAATATCTCGAGAACTATGCATCGGACCAAAAAAAGGGGGTAATGAAAGTTGTTCGTGACTCACTCCCTTGGAGGTGGGGATGGGCGAAGATAAAAAAACTTGAATAGGAACACCCATATTTTATTGCATTTATTATGAAAATGGGGCAAATCCAATATTTTTTGTTTCGAGATATTTACAGTTTTGCAGTTGGAATGCAATGCAATTCTTATGGAGAAGAAATTTTGTTTTATGACAATTTTATTGATTTTGAATTGAATTGAACTTTAAATTGAATGAAAATATGAGGATAATACCAGAATAAAAGTTTATCCATCATTAAGCGGGCATTTCACTGTGAACGCACAAAAAAAAGTATATTTTCAATCATTTTTTTCTCAGAAACTATTGCATAAAATTGAATGAATGCTTTTCCCCTTAAAGGTATGATTAAGGATAGTAAATAAACAAATTTTTTTTTTAGTAAAAAATATTTCGTCATTTATTTATAAAGTAATATGCATGTCTGCAAAAAAAAAGTTATCCGCTGACGCAGATAATTTTGGCTTACCTGGTAATCTGAAACAGAAAAGCGAAAAAGTTTATTAAACTATGCCGTCACACCTATGGTGGGAACCTCCACTTATTCATTTCATCGAAAATAAACAAAATGGCAGCGTTTCTTGTGACAGAGAGAAAAAAAAAACACTTTTTTTATGCCATGAATCAGGTGAAATTGTAAGTAAAAATCAAAATATCAACTACTTGGACGTTCCGACGATAGGTGTGACGACACAGTTTAATAAACTTTTTCGATTTTCTGTTTCAGATTACCAGGAGAGCCAATATCACCTGCGCCAGCGGTAAACTTTTTTTTTTGCACTCATGCATATTATTTTGTAAATAAATAACGAAATATTTTTTACAAAAAAAAAAAAAAAAAAGATTTCTATTTACTTTCCTTAATCATACCTTTAAGGGGAAAAAATATTCATTCAATTTTATGCAATAGTTCCTGAGAAAAAAATTATTGAAAATATGCTTTTTTTGTGTGTTCACAGTGAAATGCCCCCTTAACTCCATTTGTTCATTATGTGGACTTATCCCTTTTTCATAATAAACATCTCATATGAAGCTTTGATATTTATAATACATCGCGGCTCACAGTTTGGGAATCACTGGTCTAGAGTGGTGTTAGAGAAGTTTCAAACATTTGTTTCGGGTGGTAGCTAGAGACTCCACCAGTGCTTGTTTTGCACGCGCCAAGTTTCGAATTTCGATTTCGAATTGTACTTTGACGGAGTTACGGGTCCGCATACGAAAGGATCGTGATTGTCACAAGATTGTCAGTTACCTGTGCGGTTACAGACAAGATTCTTTTTACCTGTGCGGATCCACTTGGACGAATTCAAGAAGAAGAGTGTACATGGCTTTTGGTTCTAATCCCCGCGCGACTATCTTGACAACTGGAAACATTCGTCTGAAAGTAAAGATGAAGAAAGGATTAAAGCTTGATCCGTGTGTTTCCAGATCTTATTCTGGTAGAAATTGAAGCGTAGGTCGTGTGGCGGTCTGGCTTGAGTCGAGCGAAGCGAACGATTATGAGAATTTCGCAGGATGGTAGATTTCATCGTTGCAGCTTGTAAGTTACGGTGAGGTTCGTTAGGAATAGGAATTTGAACAACGAAAACGAATAAAACGCGTCGAGTAGTGAACACAATTTTAACCGTAACAGGAGAATGCACATTTTCTCGACAAGAAAATTGTTTTCTTACTAACATTTCTGTTGAATAAAATTTAGTATAGCGGTTCGTTATATACACTTTGCGGAAAACACTGTCCCAAAGCTTGGCGATTATTCGATCTATGGCAAAACCCGACCCTGCCATCGTGGCACGTTTCGTAAAATGACGAAGCGGCAAGAGTAACCGAAGGAACACAGTTTTTGAAAGACTAACGAAAGCAACGCTAAAACCAGCGGACAACAGTCGGAAGAATCGAGCCGCACCGGTAATAAAATTTTACGATGGCCTGGATCTCGCGTGAAAGATTCTTCCGTTGTACCGATACCTGGGAACATTTTGCCTCCGCGCGCTCGACAAATCGTAATCGTTTTTAATAACACCAATTGTAAAAGTGGAATGCAGGTCAGGTTACACCGGGCACTGTGCACCGTGCACCGTGCTCCGTGTTCATTTTCCTCTGTCAAACTAATCCATCTTTCATGTTTCCAGTTCAACAAATTTTTCTTTCGCTGGGATACATTATTTATCTTTTACCGAAATCGTAGACTCGTAAGATAATCGTATCGGTGCGTAATTACGACACGTCCGCGTCGGTTCGGTACGCATGGATCGGAAAACGTAAAAATGATTGTTTACTATTTAGTCCTAAGATTAACACTTTGACTGCCTCGCAAAATCCATTGAAAATTGAAATTGAAAGTCGCGCAAATGCCGCGCTTATTAGTCGCTGTGTACGAGTCATGTTAAGGTGGTTCTTTCCTAATTATACTAGTCGAAACAAAATTCAAATATAGAAAGCATTAGTAACGAAATATTTTCTATAATAAAATTCTTAAATTACTATTTGATTATGTTTTTTATTAAAAAAAAAAAGTAGTAATCGATATAATTACAGTTGCAATTAGTTTTTCAAGTATTATTTTATCCAACGTAGTAGTTGTGAAATCGAACACGCGGCAATTTTCGTCTTTCAATTTTGGTCAGGTTTAACAAGATTAAATAATTTTTAATTGTTATGTTTTAGAATCTTGAAGAGCCCGCTCTTTTTCAAAATACCGCGCAACGGAAATGTTTGTATGAAACGTTGCCACGTTCCTGAGACAGAATCTGCATAAAAAAATTCTTACTCGACTTCTTTTTCTAACGCATACTGCTCTGGTACTAAACGGCCAAGTTTTCCGAAATTGAAATCAGTTACTCTACATTTATTAATTTACTTCCTATTCATTTTTCGTTTTGATCTGTATTTTACAAATTGTTTTACAGTCAAAAGTATCATACAAAATTTCTTTTTTCCGTCAGCTGCCATAAGCCTCCTGTCAAATGCGACGAAAAGTCGCGAAATTCAAGTGATCGTATCTAGCAAACTAAATGGTAAATTGTACCTATATTTCACATAGATGTTTTATAAGATTTCAATTTTATGTTTTCAAAGTTATGAGACGATCTGAACTGTCATCATTTTTTATCAAACCACCTTAAGCACTCTTTACCCGAGATTCCTTCAATCTTCTCTACAGTTGTCAATCTTTATCTCACGATACAGTTTACTCACAAATATTTTCAATACCTAATCGTACTCTGAATCAAAGATTACTACCGTTATTAGATTATTTATATTTTATTCTTAGAATTAAAGAGTTTAATCCATGTCTCTTATCGAATTAAAAAGTCGCGACAAGTACAAGTTTAGTTTTTACAACGCGTCGAGTAACGAAACAATTTTCTCTAGCTTCGGAAAGGAATTAAATGATATTTTTGTATCAAATTTTTACATTTATAACTGGCTCATATATAAAATATTACATTAAACTTGTACGATAGGCTACCTCCGTATCGAAACAAACGGTATAGGTATATTATACTTACCCCTTTAACAAGCTTTCAGAAAATATTCTTCACACTTACTCGCGTTTACACTTTAAACACGAACTCGAGAACGGTAGTATTATTTCGTAAAGTATCTATTCTCCGTCACGCGATGTACAAAATTTTGATAAATCACAAATTGTCGAAATTGTGGCATGTAGCAGAAAACAAGTAAGTACTTTCCATATTTTTCCTGTATTTTGCAAAATAATTGAGTAAAAAATGAACGCGGTAATAATATTCATGTGAAATTTCATAAATCAGATTGGAATTGGATCGAATTAGTTTAAGAAACATTATTCAACGAAGATTCGTTGAAACCGTACCTAGGAAAAATTACTCGACGGAAAACGGTAACGAGAACCTGATCGCGAAATTGAAGCTTATGTTGCAGCTACTTATAACTATTATATCATACAATATATTCGACGATGGATGTAACGTATACTTACACACGTGTTACGGACACGTTTAGATATAACTGTCGTAACCGCATCGACAAAAACAATCAACCGTGATACGTATAAATTTAATCTGAAGCCGTAAGCTACGAAAAAAAACCACATTACTCGAAAAGAAGGAAAAATATCGTTCGCAATCGAGTACAAAGTGCGAAAAGGTATACACCAGCGATGACTCGCGAATAAGTAATAAAACGGAAGTTTGGGTTTAAATGCTTTAAACCGATTAATTTTTTCCGCGTAAATCGTTACACGTGTTAGTTCTCGAAAGACACTTTCTCTACCGTCGCATCGCGTCGTTTCGGTACGGTAACTTTTTTTGTGACAATTTTCGATAATCTTGCAAAATATTTTACGTATTAGGTTGTCCCAAAAGTTTCTTTCGTGAGTTGCATTCAATTATTTTCTGTGCCAGTGTTTATATAAATAGACAATCTAATTTCTTAGACATTGATGCTGTAACAGTAATGAGGCGAAATGAATCGTACACAATTCAGTAATGTAACATAAAACATACAATATTGTGTATATATTAATTATTAATAAAACGAAAGAAACTTTTGGGACAACCTAATACATATATACTACGTACATGTAGATAATTGATCATGTTCTAATCGTATTCACATACTATCGATATTCAGAGTTATTCGACGAAAGATAGAAAATAAGGAAAGAAACGATTGTTTACCATCGATTATGTTCTCTTTCGTAACATTTAAATCTTTGCGATGCGTTGGAAGCTAGACGTACACGATACGAATTGAACGAAAGGAATCGTCCAAGTCTAAACCTACGAAACATTTCGCAACGATTTCTTCCCATTACATTTCCCAGTACATTTTCGTCTCGCGTAGCATCTACGGTCTATTATTTTTACCTTCTGGCTTGTTCGCATAGACGCTCTAATTGATACATTTTTACGTGCAATGGAGAGCCATCTTTGCTTTGGGCCTTTCAACGAACCGATTCTTCTCCGTTGTTAAATATCAAACTCGTGATGTATAATACCATTTTAAAAGCGTAAATTATTCACGTAAATTGGCACATCGTCGTACACTCGATACATCGATGTCCGTTTCCAAATATTCGCTAACCTAACCTAGTTTTTTAAATCGGTGGAAAATGAAAAAAAAATTGTCAAAATTTTAGAAGGTAGACTATGGCGCCTATCTCGTAATGGTCAGCATTTTTTAGAACTGTGTACGTAAAGAGAACCAATCGAGAAACTTTGTCACGTGGAGCAACCGAGTTCGGTGTAAACCTACGAAGACAGTTTATCGTAGTTATATTTCTTTGAGACACACCCATACTTTCGACGTAGCACACTTGTGACTCGTCGAAATCGAAAGCCATCATAGTACGACATGCGACCAATAGGAAAATAATATCGCGGAAAATTTCCCGGGATACCGAGTCCGAATTCCATAAAACCGGAATATTTTCAGCTCTTCGGAAATACGTTAACGCTATACAGGGATCCTTGGTAAAGATTTCACTCCGCCAATTGGTACCTTGGTGGTGAACGATTCAGCGGCGCACTCACCTCCCGTTCTTCGTGACGATCATTTCATTGGTGAGACACTGGAACTTGGTCCACAAATCCCTGTCCTCGAGGGACAGGGACAAAGGTAATCCCTGACTTCGGCCGATAGTCATAGCGGCGATATTCTGGCCCGATATCGCCTGCCTTTCTTCGTTCTGTTCCTCGCGATCGTCGTCGGGAGTCGCTTGTCCTTGTCGTCCAACGGTGCTGCGTTCGCGTTCGCATTCACGTTCGCGTTCGCGATCGCGTTCACGTTCGCGTTCGCGATCTTCGCGAGCCTCTCTTTCCCGTTCCCTTTCGCAACAGGACGAATGCGTCGGTGAACCAGGCTTAGTCGCCACTGCTGGCTGCATGGTCCCTGTTCCTCGACTATCTTCCGACTCGTTCGCCTCTGCAACCGAGTCTCGGAACAGACTTGACGCTCTTTTTGCTTAGCTCTGTATCTTCTCTAATCCTTGTATATCGACAATTCCAAGGGCTCGCGAATCGACTAGGTGAAGGAAGTAAGAAAAGTAAGGGAAAGGGGACGATCGTTCCTATAGAAGAAAGAGAAGAAACGTCAAAATTGTTACCACTCGAGGACTGAACTGATAGAAAGGATTGAAAGCGGAAAATTTTGAAGAATAACTCTGGTTCTTCCTTTGGTTATTCTCGATCGAATTTTACGGAAAACCAGACTAATCGAGGAGGGAATTGTTTTTCAAGGATAGGGAAACGGAACGTGGGAAAGGAGGCAGAATGGACGGAAAGCGTCGGTGACGGACGTATTCGTTGAATAGTCTCGACTATTCGGTCCCGCGGCCGCGTGGTCGTGCTCGTAACACTTGGGCGCGATATTTCACACTAGTCGGCGAGGACGAGACGTTCGAAGACTCACCGCTGACGTATCGTCGTCTTCGTTCGATGTCTTTTTTTTTTCTTTCGTTCCGCGACGGTTCCCTCCGAAGAACCGTCCAATCGATGCCACGGTACGGTTCTCCTGTGCTCCGGAGGCGCTAATTGAACTCTAAATTAGGAACCTGCGGGAGCAGCATGGCGGCCCTGTGCCAGCCGAGAGGATCTTCTCGATTGGTCGCCGACGAAGCCGCTTAGGCTCAGAGATTATCACTGGCGGTTGGAATCCTTTTCGAAGACAGAGAAACATTGGTCGCCGCCTTTCCGCGGTTTCCTCGGCCAATCCATCGTTGGGACCATTTTACGATTTCACGCCGGTTGGTCGATACTTTCGAAACCACGAGACTCGCCAGTCCGCCCACGCACCAGTCACGGACTCCTCGTTCGTAGGTGCGCTTAGATCGAGCTTTCCCGATCCGTCAATCGTTCGTTCGCTCGTTCGTTCGTTTGTTCGTTCGTCTCTCTTTCCATCGTAAAGTTCAAAGATTTGTTTATCCGTTCACGCGTACAACGAATTGGAAGATTAAAGATTGTCAGGGGAAAAAATAGCGCAGGGATAGTCTCACGAGGAAGTGGCAGCACCGAGGACGCAACGGTGAGTTGCATCGGGATGATCAACGACTATCCTTCGAGTCCTGTCCTTCGAGTTTTCTACGATAGTGTTACCGAAAGATGTGCGGTTCTTGGATGATTACGCGAGAGGTTTTCGAGGAAATATCCGGTGGTTGGTAATTATTCGATCGTTTTTAACTAATGATTTATATGTTGCGTTTTGTATCGTTCGAGAGACGAGTCGAACGCTTTATTTATTTAATCCTTTATTAATCCTTAAGTCAATTTTTTCATGGTACTGTATTAAAATTAACCTTTTCGGTGCTCTGCGCGAGTATACTCGTCAAATTATTTTGTTCTTGTCGTGCTCGAGACGAGTTAAATCGCATGAGCTTTTTAAATAGGAAAGAGCTCAAGACGAGTTATCTCATTAACTCATTAACAATAATCCTTCATTCGAAGGACACCCAGGACGTTCAACATATCTTCAACGCGTTCTCTGCCTTCTTTGAATAATTGATACCAATCAAAAACACTTGCTCTGGCCAGTGTATTATCTCCAAAGACCCTTCATAACATTTACAATGTGTCGGAAGCCAAAATTCCATTTTTGTAGCAAAATTAAAATACAAATTCTGCGCTGAATTCTTTCACACATTCTGAATATTGCCGAAAGCACTTTTTTAGGTTAAAATAAACGAGCGAATCTCAACAACTGTTGCAGATATTAACATAAAGTTTGACATAGATGTTTCATAATGTTACCAACTTAACAAAAAAAAAAAAAATTTAAATCGTTTCAATAAGCTCACACGATTTAAATTTTTAAATGAAAGTCTGACTATTTTTTGATCACAATAGTATATAAAAAAGGGTAATGTAGGAAAATCATTGAAATATAAATCGGAATTTTTGTACGTACTTTTCTTCAACAGAAATACATTTTCTCCATTAGATAGGAAGCTTTGTGAAGTTATCCTATCATAGAAAATAGAATTTTGCTGTCAATTTAATAGTCAATTGTGCGCTTCCAGTTAAACTTATAAATCGTTTTGAAGGAGAAGGGCTTTTCGAGCCATATGGTTATTAACGCAACTTTTTTTCACCTGATTCTTAAACTGGATATATTAAACTTCAAAATACATATTTTTGTCGAATTTTTAAACCACTATTAATATAAACTACAATCAGGATTTTCCAGATTCTTTAATTTTTGGACATAATGAGTTTTTTCCCCTCGGTCTTCATTTCTAACCGATTCCGTATAAATTATACGATAACTCCGCTCAAATATGGAAAAACCCGTTAGATAAAAGTAAATCCATCAATTGGATCCTTAAACGCTACAATTTCAAGCTAGAATAAAAATGAACAACCACACTTACGCATATCACAAATTTATGAGCTTGTCGATATTTCTGAAAATGCGTATCTTATACGAGGGTCATTCAAATATAAACTGGAATTTTTTTGTATACCTCTATTAAGGATAGATAAAAATACAAATGGATTGCCTTATTTTTCTACGTAGGTTCCTTGAACAGAAACACATTTTCTCCATTAGATAAGAAGCTTTTTGAAGTTATCCCATTATAGAAAATAAAATTTAGCTGCCTCGGTAGTCAATTGCGCACGTACGGTTACCCAGAAAACAACAGAATGAGTTATGGCCTCTGGGCTAGTGGAAAGTTAAAGAAGGGCCACTGATCTTGGCCAAGACACCGAGTGTCAGCCAAGAAAGTTCTTGTAACTGTATTTTGGGACTCAAAAGATGTATTGCTGGTTGACTACCTACATGGTCGACAGTAGACAGTGACTATTAATTCCCTTTCGTGAATAATACCAAGACTGTTTATCGCAACAAACGTCGTCCTGCTTCTGGACGACAACGCATAGAGCAGCTTTGACATTCGATAAAGTCACTAAAATACATTGAACATCTCTCGAATAACCACCTTATAACCCAGACCTAATTCCACGTGACTACCATGTGAACAATACACTGAAGAAGGTATTAAGACGAGAAAGATTTATTATAAAAACGACACAGCGCGCTGCAACGGTTCAACTATACTTGTACAATTGATTATTGGTACAAGCAACTGCTTTTTTCCTAAAGAAATTAGATAGCTTCCTATCTAACGAAGAAAATGTATTTCTGTTGAAGAAAAGTACGTACAAAAATAAGGCACTCCATTCGTATTTGTATCTATCACCAATAAAACAGTGTACAAGAATTCCAGTTTATATTTGAATGACCCTCGTAAGATATCAGGAAAAAATGTAAGACAATGCAGGTAAATGTAAAATAGAAGGAAACACAGATATACACAAGACTGGAAAAATAGATACAGTAATCGATCGATGTTAAGATTATGTACCCGATAAATTGTTTGTAAGAGCCGACCTGGACACCGGACATCGCCATCGGAACCACCGCCGCGCCGCGCTGTAAGCGAAACGGTTAACTGTCCGATAGACGGACTGACCGACCATTTCGAGTCAAATGACAAAAATCAACAGCAAGTTACGTCCGGCTGGTCGATGGATCGCGAGTAGATATTTGACCAGGACCGTTTCTTGTTTGCCATCACGCGCGGTTTTGGCTGGTAAGGTAACCATTCAGCCCTGACTGATATTTGTGCTAGTAATTTCGTGGAGGGAAAAGTCGCGATACATCGGTGCTGCAAAGTCGCGGAGACCTAACGGAGTTATTTCTGTTAAACGAATGTGTACCGTCTCGATGCCGATTTACCGATCCATGGATTTGTTCAATGGCCGCTCGTGCATCTCGGTTATTAGCGAACCATTAGTCCACCAAAACCGCCTATTTAATCTGAAACCGAAACCGAATCCAAATCCGAGGAAAACGATAGGTACACAAGCTCGAAACTTGGGAGGGCATGTTAATGGGAAAGAAATTGGTAAGCGTCGTTGGTTAGAATTAACGCGACGATAAATTACCATCGATAACGTAGCTATCGGCTGCGCGATTCGTTGCAATTTCCAACAAACACGTCCTAATCTGGCATTAACCTCCTCCGGCTACAAATGTTTACGAGACAGGTTCCGTTCTCCATTACACGGACGTCATGCCTACGGCTTGATGCCATCATGCTTACTAGTCCGAGAGCCCGCGACATAAAATTTCTGCCAATTTCATTACAAATATCCTTTTGCTATTTTACTGTTTTCTACTAAAGAATAAAAATAATCCAAGGCTGGCAGCGCACAAACGGTGCATCGCTCCGCTAGAAAGTCGTAAACATGTAAGAAATAACAGTATCTTTGACTGAAATCATTATTACTGCAATTTTTAGAATGTATTGTTGACATACCAAGTTGCATAAAAAAGTTGTTCTGGCAGATTGTAAGCGGTGCTAAATGGGTCTGTCAATCGGAAAACCTTGTCGAAAAAACGAAGCAGTTCATTAAAACATCTAATAAAACTATCAAGTAACTGATATCATTATTTCTGAGACTTTTTCTATAAACAATATGTAATGCATAGCGTTAAAAAATTTGGTCTGGCAAACTTTGAGTGGTATTAAATCAGTCTGGCAGCCGTTTAAAAGAACGACCACACATGCGTTACCGGCGTTGAGATCTCGATAATCTAATAAAACTATCAAGTAATAATTATTTTTAAACATTATATACATTAGTCATTTATAGAATATTGCTATGATGATTTTTATTTCATACAATTATTATTATTATTTAACTTCGAAATAATGATTTCAGTCAAACTACTACGTTTTTCCGACAAGGTTTTCCGACTGTCAGACCCATTTAGCACCGCTTACAATCTGCCAGACCAACTTGTTTATGCAATTTGATATGTCAACAATACACACTAAAAATTTCAGTAGTAATGATTTTACCAAAAATCAAATTATTGTATTATAATACGCCATAGTGAAGCGTTGCACCACTGAATTCATGCCAGACCAAGCATTTCTGAACTAGGGAGACATACCATCTTCGGAAAACAGGTTCATTTGTGTAATGAAATGAGTCACTGATTTTTGTCGCGGGCTCTCGGACTATTAGAAATGAAATCCGCCGACTCGGGATCGATTTGACGTCATATATTTTTTCCCAGCTAAAACTAGATCTCTGGGTGGTCTAACACAGGTATATAAATATACCGAACTCGAGTGCATTAAATACGATTCATTAACCGGAAGAGCAGCACACTCGGTCATGAAAACTCCATTTAGTAATTGACGCTCGGTAGAGGTACATATCGTTTTTCTTTTTTTATCTTTTTTAGCCGAAATTGATTTACCAGAGTTCTCGTATCTTGTCCATCGACGATATACAGTCATCGATTCATCACTTTCGACGCTTACCAGTTATACGACTCGGAGTCTCGGATTCACTAATGGTGGCGGGGCGATAAAAATGAACCTGTACCTCGAAAATCCTAACCAACGTTCACCGCCGCACCTTGCCTCGGCCCGCGTAAGTCGTTTACGATACGGATATCCCATCCGTCGCTACCTGCTGGTTAGGTAGCTCTACCGACCGATTGCGAGTTCCACGACATTAGTTGATCGCGTTTGAAGAATGCCGCCTCGCCTTCTGTTGGTTCATCCATAATAAACATCCACGATTACAATCGCTTTGATAAAACATCACCGCCCGGACAGGGACCTTTATTCCTTTGTTTACAAGTTACATTCTACTTTTACTGGTAAATGCGGAACACGAAACACGAGAACGATTAATTCGAGTTACCGGCAAAAAAGTCGAGGTAGTATTAGGTTGTCCGAAAAGTTTCTTTCGCTTTATTAATAAGTAATACATGCACAATAGTTAATATTTTATGTTACATTACTGAACTGTGCACGATTCATTTTTGCTCCATTACTGCTACAACATGAATATATATGAAATTAAATTGTCTATTTCTATAAACACGACCACATAAAATAATTGAGTGCAACTCGCGAAAGAAACTTTCGGGACAACCTAATAGAATACCAGCGATTTCAGCTTACCATATACAGTGGGTGTAGATAGTATTCATACACTGATCAATTTCCAAAAAAAACAATGTAAAATTGTAATTTATTAACTTATTTTTTATAAACAATGACATTCACAATATTCTTGGAAATCTGTAGAATAGATAGAATACAAAAAAAATAGCTATTTACGTAAGTTGCGAAATTAACAAGAAAAAAACAATTAATTGATAGAAATATTGAAACAATAAGTATTCGCACGACTGTTTAATTTTTAAAACTTGATTAAAAAAAAAAGAAATTTACATTAATTTACAAGTATATAATACTTCCTGCGTGGGATTTCCTTTTGATTTTATAATTATTGCAACTCTTCTAAGCATTAAATTAACTAAATTATTAATTAGTGGTAGTAAAACGATACTGATAATAATAGTTATTCGAACTCGGATCTTCTTCAATTCCTCTATTAGAGCCATTTTTAAAGGTACTTAACTGGAAGGGTCTGAATATACGAAGTGGTTGAAAACAACATGCATACATCCCTCAAAGGGTGAAAAGGTTGTGAAACAAAATGGCACCTATGTAATTCAATAAATATATATTAAAATTAAATGTGTTTTTGAATGTTTTTTAGAAATTGGCACGAACTTTCTCGACAACCTAACTACAGTGAAATGGTTACTGGATACTTTACTGGAAATTTGATGTTTTCTAATTCGTACGGAGCAATAAACTAATGTTTTTACCGTTACAAACTCTACTGTAAATGGTTCGTCATACGAATCGTACAAATACTAATTGCTTCTATATTTCTACCGATTTTTCGTCATTTCTTGTTAATTTCGCAAATTATATAAACTAGTAATTGTTATTTGAACTATATATTGTAAAGATTTCCGAGAATATGTAGAATATCATTGATTATAAAAAAAGAAGTTAAGAAAGTACAATTTCACAGAAAAGTTTTTTGGGATATTGATCGGTGTACGAATACATTCTACACCCACTGTATATCTTGGACGAATAATAGGACCGATTACCAGAATGCATGCCCAAGTACCATCGATACAATTACATCCTCCCTCAGAAGTATGTGGACACTTTTTTAACAGAAATAAATATCTAACGAAAGTTGTGAATCTATTAATATCAATTATATCATTTATATCTCAAATGTTTGTTGCATTAGCGAATATATTTTATTAGTAGTTTTTTTTTTAAATCATACTAGTAATGATAAAAAAACTATAGAGATAACTAGATAATGTTAACATTTCTTTTACCAAACTTGAATGCTATTAATTTCTTCATTTTATCCGATGTAATATTATCTCATTTATTTTGAAATATTTCGTCATAATGGGTTTTGATATATGAACGTTCTTTCTGAATTGTTCTATCTAAATAATCCCAGAGTTCCACTATAAAATTGAATATGGCACCCAAAATATTCAATATTATTAAGCCTTTGCGCTCGGGTGGCGCCTCTAGGGCGACATATGTAATTTAAGAGTGATTTTGTAAACGTACAATTTCAAATTCACTTACATCAGGATACAACTAATTATTAATTGAAATAATAATACATTAAGTCACGAACGTTCGTAGATGTTTTTCTTCGAAATAGAGTTTTTGGTTTCACAGAAATTTATTAGGTTGTCCCAAAAGTTTCTTTCGCTTTATTAATAAGTAATACATGTACAATATTTTATGTTTTATGTTACATTACTGAATTGTGCACGATTCATTTTGCTCTATTACTGTTACAACATGAATATTCATGAAATTAGATTGTCTATTTCTATAAACACGACCACATAAAATAATTGAGTGCAACTCGCGAAAGAAACTTTCGGGACAAGCTAATATTATAAAAATGGACTGGATCTGATTCTATAGAAAAATGCCTCGAACGCAAAGGGTTAAATGTTGTTAAATACACATCCAATATAGAATTTAGCAGCAAAAGTTTTATGGTAATAATTTACGGTATATATTAATTATCCATTGAAGATGGTAAGTGTCCACATATTTATGAACGAGGGTGTACGTTCGACAGAGAATATGTCAAACAATGTTAAAAATTACAACTCGTTCAAGTTTTACTCAGGTTCTTGGTTTTAGTTGGCTCTCTTCTGCACCGCAAAGAACGATCACTTACCGTAACTTTGTACTCCAACTTCAGTTTACAAACCGTATACGTATATTTCAAATGAAATCGAATAGAATCAAATAGAGTCGTGTACAAAAGAAGAAGTTGCTTTTTCTACTTGCGATTAGTACTATTCAATATATTTAACGTTTCGTAGCAATCGAACATCGATAATACAATAATTACATCGAGGAAAAGAATACAGTAAATAGACATGCAAGAAACGAACACAAGTTACATAACAATGTACTCGCTATCCCTGTATGTTTATTATATTCTGTAAATGTATTATTTATTTTAGATTTTAGATTTGAGTCCTGCCTCGCATTTTCCAAATTGACATTCTACGAACTTACCGTTTGCGGTACAGCATATAGATGTCATCTATCGGATGAATGATACGTGTCCACAGATAGACAAAATTGAAAATTCAATCGTGGGATGTGCATTCCGAATTGTAGGGAAGCCACGCGAACGTGCAGTGACCGATCGTCGATCGCCCGCCTTGTGTTCGCCATTATCGGTCGATGAAAAACTATGCCGTCTTTTTATCAAGTAAACGTCAATCTATGAATTTGTTACTTACAATTTTAAACATATCTTGCAGCGGAAATCACGTAGACCCTCGAAAACGTTTACATTGCTTATACCGACTAAATAATTCTGCACCTTGCATCTATTAAAATTCGAAAATTATATACAATGCCTGGCAAGTATCGAAATTATCTTCAAATGCATCATCTCGAAATCATCTCATGAAATATTTTCATCTTTTCTTGTCGAAAGGACGTTGAAATGTTTCGACGTGTCGTCTACTTCCATCTTCAGAGTTATTTCATTTCCATTTCCATTTCCATTTCCATTTCCATTGCCATTTTCATTTTCGTTATCGAATTCGTCATCGGTAGCATCGCCGATATTTCTCAGAACTTGGTTGTCGGCGGTACCGATAGCTATGTAGCTTCCGTCGGGGTCGTTTCGCTCGCTAGCGAATTCGTAGTCTTCTCTTTGACGTAGAACTTGAATTCTCGACGGATGCACCATTGTATTCTTCCGACAAAACCATTCTTTATCTCTTGCGCGATGGGAACAGTCCAAAAACGCACCGGAATTCTAGAGATTTTCACGTACAAAGAGCGTTAATATAGTGTTTATTTAATGGAATCTGAAATTTTTGAATGTTTTTAAGAAAGAAAGACCAGAAATTGTACGAAAATATAGTTTCGATCTTTGGAAACACGATAGAGTTTCTTTGGAATAGCTTGGCCAGATTACTATTATAATTACTACGTTGGAATCGTCCCGTATATCAACGTACAAGCTTAGTGTAGTTGGCATCTCCAAATGCAAAATTTGATAAAAATCAAATTCTATTCGTTTGTCCACGATTTGTCCACGTTTGTCCAACCACAATTTTCATTTGTCCACCCTTCAGAAAAAAGATACACTTTAATTAAAGAGAAGATGTAACGATGCGTTCAGGCGCGTACAGTCCTTGTCAGTTTTGTAGTTATTTATTTACATCTGGACAAAACCAGTAGTGATTTTCGTTTGTCCAACCAATATTTTCATTGGTCCATCCTTCAGAAAAACAAGATATACTTCAATTAAGGAGAAGTTGCAGCGATACGCTTGGTTGCGGGTCATTTGTCCTCGTTTTGTCAATTTCGTAGCTAATTATCTATGTCTGCGCAGAACAGAAACACTACTGGTTTTGTCCAGATGTAAATAAATAACTACAAAACTGACAAAGACTGTATGCGCCTGAACGCATCGCTGCATCTTCTCCTTAATCGAGGTGTATCTTTTTTCTAAGGGGTGGACAAACAAAAGTACTTGTTGGACAAACGAAAAACAGTAGTGGACGAAATGTGTCTCGCCACATTTTTTAAGAAAACCCTAAAAAAAGTCTATATAGATGTGTTGACTTCAAATGGCTTGTTTGTGGTGTAACTTTTTTCTGAAGGATGGACAAATGAAAATTATGGTTGGACAAACGTGGACAAATGCGTGGACAAACGAATGGAATTTGATTTTTATCAAATTTTGCATTTGGGGGTGCCAACTTCCGAAGCTCAACGTACACATATATACTAGATATTAGATATAGATAGATATTAGATAGCTACAAGTTGGGCTTCTCGACTCTGAGGCCTACAAGGCGGGCAAGTAAGTACAATCAGTGTAATAAGTAGACTGCGTTTCTTTATGCAAAATAAAATCTTCGCGAACGTGCCAATAAAAATTGGACCTAAATAGGAATTTATTTTATTCTACAAATATCACAACATGAACTTTACTTTCAATCTTTTTTATATTCTTGCGTATTATTTGCATTTTGTAGATTCTTGCACATTCAAATTTTCTATAAATCCGTAAAGATCCGAAGTCGAGTAATAAGTATTCGTAGAGAAACCAATTCAAAATAAAGCTTCATGCATTTATTCTATTAATAAATTTTAGAGGAAGAAATAATTAACCAACATTCCTACAGATTTTTACAGTAGAATTTACGTAAATTAAAGCTTATTATTTTTAATGTTAACCTCTTATTTCTTATCTTATTAATTTTATTTTAAATTGGTTGCTATGCGAATACTTCTTACACTGACTACATATACGTATACATATACGTAATCGAAATTCAAATACGATTTAGTCGTCAGGAAAGCAACTCTTCACCGAAGAAACTTTATAAGAAAAAAGAGGATTTCAATTTGTTCGTGTCTCACTCCAAGGTTGTTCGAAATCCTTGATAGGCCAGATGTTGATTGAGCAGGGAACCAACAGCATTCGTCTGGAATGATTCGCGACAGAATCTCTCCGTTTTCTGCGATCCTGTGGATGGCGCTCGAAGTTTCTAAAATTCCGCAGGATCTCGGCGAGAAGGGAATGATGACGGGAGCGGGAAGATAGGTCTTCGGGTGTAGCTGAAGAAAATAAAATAACCTTTTACAGCACGGTAATTCTCTCTTTCGAGTGACCGTTTCGTTTAGAAGAAGCTTTCTTTGTTTCCATAAAGAAACAACATGAATAAATAATCGTCAGCAGTTGGTACGAATAAAGTATAATACATTTTCTCAATCGGTTAAACATTTCGAGTCATTATTCTCGGGTCCCCTTCGATAATAATTTCGCGTCTTTGACTATGTTTATATATTTATAAATGTGCGATATATGCATAAGAAGAACCAAATTTTGTCGTCGATCATCGATACCAATAAACGTAAACTATATTGTATCGCAACAACCAATATTTTCTAGTCCCGAGCATTATTTCTTAGATTTCAATGTTTGGCTTTAGGTCGTATTCGGCATCTACAAATATTGCGATTAAATATAAATTTTCAATACACGAAAATGGTTAAATGCACAATATAAATTCGAAAAGTACGATGATACTAATTAAAAATCGATGTAACAAATGTATTGTAACCTTTATTATATCATTATTATTTATCTACATATATATATCGTACTTTTACAATAGAAATATGCAAGGGACGCGAAATTGTTATCGAAAAAGATTCGAGCGACAGATGAAAACGTTTCGCCGTTAAGAAGGTATCCTGAATTAGGAGGTCTAAAAATAGCGGTTTTTCGTGAATTTGTTTAGGATGTAAAAAAATAATTAATTCTATCGAACTTTTTATCCTATTTTCATACATATTTAAGTAGACTGTACAACAGGTTACTTTTTTCAACAAGAAATATTCAAATTGAGTCGACTGTGACGCACATTTGTAGAGCACCTCACAATTAAAACCTCCTATCGGGGGGAAAGATGCAGGTCGTAATTTTGGTTTGACACAAAAAAACAAAAGAAATTTTCATTTTCATACATTTTTCTTCTATTTGAACTAAGAAAATCCCGCAAAAATGGTGCAAGTTTGAAAAAAAGAACGAGTTCTTTGGATGAAAAAAATCACTTTAACTTGATAAAAAAGTTATTTAAAATTTTTGTTGTATGAATTTTTTTAGTTCACAGAACAAAAATGTATGACAATGAAAATTTCTTTTGTTTTTTTGTGTCAAACCAAAATTATGACCTGCATCTTTCCCGCCGATAGGAGATTTTAATTATGAGGTGGTCTACAAATGTGCGTCACAGTCGACTCAATTTGAATATTTCTTGTTGAGAAAATTTGTACAGACTACTCAGATATGTATGAAAATAGGATAAAAAGTTCGATAGAATTAGTCATTTTTTTCCATCCTAAAGAAATTCGCGAAAAACCGCTTATTTTAAACCTTCTAATTAAGAATAATAAAGAAGTTAAACCATGCTTGTACCGATAACGGTACAGTTCTATATTTGCCTACTCGAATCTAGTACAAAAATCGTCACTCGAAAGCGGGAGTTATCGTATTTTCAATTTCTTTTTTTTTCATCTCTTTTCTTTTCTTTTTCTTTTCGTTTTTCATTTTCTTTTCTTTTCTTTTCTGTTCACTGTCGCATAGATAACCGTTTATTTCTCGCGTTTATGGTGTTTACGCTCGTTTCACTCGCGATCGGACTGAAACGCGATTTTTGTTTGGACATATGTATCTTTTCTCGAACAATTTCATCGAAGGCCCGCTCGGAGCGAGTAACGAGTTTCGATTCGAAAATGAATTTGTTAAGCTCAGCGATACCGGTGTTACTTAAATGTAAACGCCACGCGAACGAATGCATGTTTGATCGTTAGGTTGCACCGTCTATCTCGACTCTATCAGTCCCGTTCTTCCATTGGCAACTCAACGACTCGCACAGTCGAACTCGTCCGAAATATACTACATACTTGTTTCCTTTCTTGCGTTTGGAATTCGATACAATAACACGAGCCTTTAGAAGGACTTTTTATATCAACTTGGCACTTGTAGGACTAATCGTAAGAGTCTTTCTCTCGCAATCGTTATCCTTTCCTGTACATTTCGGTTCTTTAGCGCGTCACCTAGCGATTAGAGTTGACAAGTTGCTAATAATAATTAGACAGAAAGTTGTCACGTGTTATATACGTTGAAAGTTTCGCTGTTACAATTGTTCGTAATTGTTTTGTTTTTCATTCTTTCTCTTGGTTGATCTTGAACGTTATCATCCAAGCTCGTTAAATATCGTCGCCGATAATGGAACGCGGGGTATCTTACATTTCCTTTTAATCGTAAAACGTCGTGTTCTATGTTACAGTCTACGTTACCGACAAGACAGATCGATGAAATGAAAAAAATGATTAAAATTTCAAATAATCAACGCATCGGTAAAATTTCCATAGGTCATGATCTCGGCATGATACGATCCGGAGAACGTTTCTCATGCGTTTCAACAATGAGATGTCCGTTGAGTACAATCGTCTTAACTTTTCAACCGTCGCAGTTTTCTTTTCTTTTCTTTTCTGTTACACCGAATCTGTTCGATTCCTTTTTTCTGGTTGAATCAGACATTGGTTGCGAGACTGTTCACTGCACAAACCATGTATTTTTCAGCGATTATTAGGGGTGTGCGGGATTCCCGAAAATATTCGGGGATTCCCGTAAAATGTCCGGGATTCCCTAAAATATCCAGGATTCTCGAGTTTATGCGGGATCCCGAATTGATTCGGGATTCCCGAGAATACACGAGATCCCACAAAAATCCGGGATTCCCGAGAATGTGAAAACAAATACGATACAAGTCGCAACATCCTAGGATTACAAGTGAACAGCTTCGAAACAGCGATAAAATGCGGTTACATTCACGTTAAACGTTCTCGTTTTGATTCTAGGTCGAAAAGTTAAAACAACTTTAGAATGGTCGATCGTTTCGGACAAACAATTACGCGTTATCGTTAAAATCTCTCGAGTAGTTTCTCTATCGGCGTCCCAACGCGCCGTGTTCCTCTATAACTACGTCGTTTAAGTTTAAAACAAATCACAGCATTTGCAACATTCTATCACGGACGACGTCCGTCCGAAAAATAAGAACGAACGTTGCCACTGAAAGAAAGTCTTTCTACGGTCGATATTAATTACAAACTTTAACAGTTTTGTTGCCTCTCAAATTGTCCGCTCGACGGAAGATCACTTCTTCATGCCGAAGAGTGGAATGTTCTCTAAAAATTTCTTTAATTCGCTCTCATGTGAATTTTCCTTTAACGCGTTATTCGATGCTTCTCGGAAGTTAACTTATTTCTTGTTTTTCTTTCAAGTCGTTTCGTTGCTTTTAACGCCAATATTATCATTTCCATTGTAACGAAAGTATTTGAAATCTACCTTCGTCGTAGCAAAAGTATTTTCGTTTCGAGTTTTAATTATAATAATAATAATACGTCACGATGAACGAGTTACAGAACATGTCACGTTTCAACATGAATCATCGCTTATAATTCCGAGCAGTTGAGCGAACAGAACGAGGAAAGGTTCTTATACGCGACGATACGTGGAACGCAAGCGCGACGGTGAACGTGAAATAAAAGCTTTTCTTTTGATTTGGTCCCATCATAGGTACAGGGTAGCCGTGATGAATTACGTTCAAGTCGATTTACCGGTGGATTGATTAACGCGAGTCACAGCGCGCCGGTACCAGTATTCGGAACTCGGTTCGAACTTGTATTACAGTAAAAAATACGTATGTACGTATGTATGTATGTAAGTAGGAAGGTTTTAACGAACGGAGTCGTACTCTGTATCGTATCGATCGATTCGATTCGATCAGTTTTTCACTGTTTGCTGCTTTGTAATTTCTCCGTTAACGCTTTTTAATTTATTACGAGAGAAAGTCGAGAGTTTTAAATTTAATTCTCTTTAACTCCACGTAACTCTGAACCAGAGATGGGTGAAAGTCCTATATACATGCAAATGTCGACTAAAGAATAAGAGAGAAAGAAATTTGTATCTCTTGCTCGTTAAATGAATATGAAAATTTCAATTGTAGAATAAAATCATACTTTACATTGAACAACTAAAAACTTACTTGTACACATATAGCTCAACATATAAATAAAAATGAATTTTATTTATAAAGTTACTCTGCCTGTATGTGTGTCTATTTGTTGTGTTGCGTTGTATTGTGCATATATAGACCGATGCAAATTTAATATAATTATTGCTAGTGTAATGATATGAACGTTTTCACGACACGGTACTCAAGTTTATCATCTAGGTGCAACGTTTCTCAGACTCCTAAACAATCACTTATTTCTTGCGACAGGTTTCCTCAAACTTTACGAATGATCGTGCAACTGTTATCTCTTGGTACACTGATCAACAACCGCTTCCGAACAATATTTTCTAAAGTATTCGATTTAATATCGTACACTCGCAACATTAACGTAGCGCTTGACACCACGAACTTTTTCTGTATAATTTTAAAAGGTCCCAAATTTACTGTATGGTAAGTACACGTTAAAATGGACATGTAAAAAATTCGGACCACGAGTCTTAGATTCTACAGTCTTAACTTGAAAATTCTTCGTACTATTCCTTTCACTCATCAATTTATATTAATATAAATTAGCAGGCTGTAATTACGATATATAAAAAAAGTATCTCCAATATTTCGTCGTGCTTGTTAAGTAAACGAGTTCTGAATACAAAGTACCGTGCATTCCCTTCGATAAACAAATTTTTTCGAAAAACAGAAGGGTTCGTATGTACTTGATCGGTATCCGACTTCCAACATTCGCAATGTTTGTATTCACTTTTATTTATACGTTTCCCCGCGCGGCAGTACGTGTCGCCTAAAATTCTACTAATGGTAAGTAACTTGTGTACTTGTTCGTCACGCGTTTTCGTTCCTTCGATACCTAAGTGCAATGTATGTATACACACACACGCACACACGCTCATACGTGCCCTCACACACACACGCGCGCGCGCGCACGCACACACACACACACACACATATATATATACTTCTTTAAATATATATTTAATATATTATCTATCGCCAGTACACAAATTTCGTGTATCATCGACGATATCTAACAACTTGACGGAAGGTGCCGATTGAATCTGTTCATTGACACATTTTGATTATACTTCTGACCAGGCATGAGCAACCCACAAGTACATTTCTCCTTATTAACGTTTTTCAAACCGAAATAAATGATTTTCATATTCCATTAAACGTAATTAGTTCTAAAGTCCTAGTATATTACGGAGTAAGTATCTGGAATCTTAGAGCGCTAGAGTTGACGAATTTGAGTCTCGAGAGTTGATAATCCTGGATTTTCAGAGATCCGGAGGTTTACGATTCTCGATTGGTACAGTTTCAAAGTTTTCAAATCGTACAGCCCTGGAGATTTAAACTTCTATCTTTTCCAACAGATTCGCAGTTTGAAAGTTCGAAAATACTAAACCCTCTCGGAGTTGCCCGAGTCCTATACCCGTGCAGTTGCAGATATTTAACACTTTACCGACCGGTAGCCGATTAATCGGCTTTTTGTCTCCAACGCTCACCGACCCGGTAGTCGATTAATCGACTTTTTGTCCCCAACGCTCACCGACCGGTAACTGTTATGGTAACTAGCAAGTATTTGTTACTTTGAATTGAGATACAAGTTGCTTTGCTCTGTAAGCTCTCGTATTTTTATACAATTCCCGGTGCCAGGGAAGATATGCTGCCGAGCGGCCGGTGAGAAGGGCATAGGATCTTGAACCGCTACCGGTCGGTAAAGTGTTAATATTCTATCATGGACTGCTGAATTCTTCGAGTCTGAGAATTTGAAAATTACGGAGCGAGGTTCTCAGAATCATAGAGTTTTCGAGTCTCAGATTTCCAGAATCTTATGACGCTAAAGAACTTCTGGAATACGAATATCTGGGAGTGTCGAAAGTCTAATATCGTAAAGTTGTACGGCGTCGGAGCGATCTAGGGCGACGGCAGACGGAATTCAAGAGTTCCAGAGTCCTAGATTTCTCGAATCCTATACTACTATACTACTATACTCCTATACTCCTATACTCCTATACTCCTATACTCCTATACTCCTATACCGTTATACTGCTACACTGCTAGATTTCAGGATTCCTGGATTCCAGGTTTAAAGTATAGTTACAGCAATTGTAGAGTTTTAGAGCTCCAGGGTTGCAGAAATCTAAAGTTCTAGTGTTAGACCCATTAGTTATTCAAGATTGGTTTTTCAAGGTTGGTTAAGGTACTTCACGTGTATCGAAATATCCGGGTACACGGGTAATTAATGGATCCGTGTTTTAATCCGTGTATTTTTAATACACGGGTACGCATACATGGAATTATACGGGTACAATATCCAATTATTTTTATATACAAACTTTTATGTAAAAAGGCTATTATTCTAAAATGAAGATCCTTATTAATTTTGAAAACATTGATATGCAGTAAAATAAATAAATAAAAAAGATATCAACATCAGAAGAAGAAATGAAATAATTAATTTTTTAGTGTAGTTTGTAAAACTTTATTTACTAGTTAAAATAAATATTCAAGTCACGGGTAACCATAGGTAATTCGATGTATCCGTACCCGTGTATTAAAGATACCGGTGTTTTTAATCCCTTAATACACGGTACACGTGTTCCGTCTGCCCGTGTATTTTAATACCCGCTCAAAACCGCGATCTCTAGTATTGAGTCTTCGAAAGCGAAACCTCGTGTGAAAAAATTTCGTATATACTCGAATAGCTCGAACAGCTTGAACAATTTTCTATATTTATTTTCTACGGAGCAGTTGCGCAAAGCGCTTCGCTACTTGTGTAGGATGCTCGGGCCAGCGTTTGGTGTACAAGACGTTATCACGTTATATCGTGCTGCTTTGATTTTCTCTTTTATTCGACCGAGAACTTTTTTAGAGATATTCGATATTTCCACGGTCGTCTGGAAGGCACAATCTCGACGAACATATGCCGTTTACACGAACGTTTCGTACGCCAGCTGCGATATCTCTTTGGATCGTTCCAAGTTTGTCGGTTAATTCTCGCGGAGGATTCTCGGATAAGTTTACCAAGACTCGAGAAACGAATGTCGCTATACTCTTATCTCGATTTCAGCGCGATGATATTTTGTCGACTAGGATTACTAAAAAAATTTGGTCTTTTAAGTAACAAACGCGAATTCGCGATCTGGCGTTTGTCGTTCTTGTACATGGAGATAACACGGTCGACTCGTTCGTTCAAAGTCGAAGGAAATAATATAGACCTACGGGAAAGTAGACGCATTTTACATCCGCGAGATATCGGTAATCTCTTTCGCGGCTCGCTTAGCTTTCTAATACCATTGTAAACGAACGCAACGCTTTGCGAACACGTAAAAAAGTCCTTACGCGACTTGTAAATCCACTCGTAATTCAATTGTATGTACGAAATCGGAAAGCCTCTTGCTTTCTACAAATCAATTTAAATTGAAAACCGCGTAAAAACTCCTATCCGTCGGAATATAAAATGATTCACCTGACGTAATATCCTTGGGTGCTCCGTTTCGCGATAAAGTATCAGTAATCGACGACTAGTATTCGATGTGTACCTCTACATATACACCAAACAACTCGGATACTCGGTACTCCTATTTTGACACCGCTTACTTTGCTACCTCTATTTCTCTATCCTACCGCGGTACCCTTCTTCACACTTTTCTCTCTTTCTTTTTTTTTCATTATTCTGGACGCAACAGTTTAGTCGGATACAGTTGTTTCATAGGCTATGCGTCTCCCGTAAGGTAGTCGATCCATCGCGATCTTTCGTACCTCATTCTCAGAACACTTCTTTACTAATTAATCGAACGATTAATCCAACGAGACAGAAATATGTATTAACCCTTCGCGCTCGAGGCATTTTTCTATAGAATCAAATCCAGTCCATTTTTATAATAAATTTCTGTGAAACCAAAAACTCTACTTCGAAGAAAAACATCTACGAACGTTCATGACTAGACTGCGGATCTTTATGCAAAATAAAACCTTCGCGAACGCGCCTTATTTTATTCTCCAAATATTATAACGTGAACTTTACTTTCAATCTTTTTTATAATCTTGCACATTGTTTTCACTTTGTAGTTTCTTGCACAATCAAATTTTCTATAAATGCATACAGATCCGCAGTCTATTCATGACTCAATATATTATATTTCAATTAATAATCAGTTGTATTCTGATATAAGTGAATTTGAAATTGTACGTTCACAAAATCATTTTTAAATTACATATGTCGCCCTAGAGGCGCCACCTGAGCGCAAAAGGTTAATATACTATGATTTCGCGATTGCGAATACATCTGGTAAATGGAAGATCACTAACCCGAATAATAGAGATTTCATCGCAATTTTTCGATAAATTTTCAAGCAGATTCTAATCGAGTTGCAACGTACGATATCAGAATCATCTGTCGATCGGACTATTCAATTTCGACTTTCGTAGTAATGCAAACGTAAAATACCAGTTCTGTGTTTCCCGCACCCCTTAGCTATTATAATTTAGCGATTCGTTAGTCGAGCAGTCGCAGTTCGTTTCGTAAACTCACAGTAATATAAAGATAACTACAGTGGGTGTAGAATCTATTCGTACACCGATCAATTTCCCAAAAAACTTTTCTGTGTAATTGTTATTTCTTAACTTCTTTTTTTTTATAATCAATGATATTATACATATTCTCGGAAATCTTTACAATATATAGTTCAAATAACAATTACTAGTTTATATAATTTGCGAAATTAACAAGAAATGACGAAAAATCGGTAGAAATATAGAAGCAATTAGTATTTGTACGATTCTTATGACGAACCATTTACAGTAGAGTTTGTAACGGTAAACACGTTAGTTTATTGCTCCGTACAAATTAGAAAACATCAAATTTCCAGTAAAGTATTCAATAACCATTCCACTGTAGTTAGGTTGTCGAGAAAGTTCGTGCCAATTTCTAAAAAACATTCAAAAACACGTTTAATTTTAATATATATTTATTGAATTACATAGGTGCCATTTTGTTTCACAACCTTTCCATCCTTTGAGGGATGTATGCATGTTGTTTTCAACCACTTCGTATATTCAGACCTGCACTACCTATCGAGAATCGGCATGGACTTTCCGGACAACCCAATACTTTTAAAAATGGCTTTAATAGAGGAATTGAACAAGATCCCACTTCGAATAACTAATAATTTAAATAATTTAATGCTTAGAAGAGTTGCAATAATTATAAAATCAAAAGGAAATTTATGAAGGAAGTATTATATACTTGTAAATGAATGTAAATTTCTTTTTTCTTTAATCAAGTTTTAAAAATTAAACATTTGTGCGAATACTTATTGCTTCAACATTTCTATCGATTAATTTTTTTTTTTTTTTTGTTAATTTCGCAACTTACATAAATAGCTATGTTTTTTATAATCTATCTATTCTAGATATTGGGTTGTCTGGAAAGTCCATGCCGATTCTCGATAGGTAGTGCAGGTCTGAATATATCGAAATGGCTGAAAACAAATAACATATATATATGTACATCCCTTAAAAGGTAGAAAGTTTGTGGAACAACATGGTACCTATGTAATTCAATAAATATATGTTACAATTCAAATGTGCCTTTGAAGTTTTCTTAAAAATTGACACGAACTTTCTGGACAACCTAATATTTCTAAGAATATGTAGAATGTCATTGTTTATAAAAAATAAGTTAATAAATTACAATTTTACATAGTTTTTTTGGAAATTGATCGATGTACGAATATCGTCTACACCCACTATATGTTCATGTCACGCCAATTTACCTTGATACTTGTAGTTCTGAGAATGAGCGAAAGATATACATAGTTTGAAGGAGAAATACTTTAGCCCAGGAAAGGTTCGAAGATTCGCTTAAATTTCGCTACCTATAACCCCTAGGTGAGGACTGTGCCAACGAGGGGTAGAGTTAGCAGGCTGCCCGCCTGTACGGTACATGCCTATACCGATAGACGTTGAAGCGACGCCGACGCCGACGCCAACGAGCTCGTTGCTCGAATCGTCGAATCCTCCTTCCTCGTTATCATCGGTGTCAAAGGACCTCACCGTCGTTCTCGCCGTTGCGGTCACCGCGCTCGTGTCGTGCGTTGCAGTTGCAGCTGTCACCGCGGCTCCGGCTCCCGGTCCGTTGCCATCCGATATTCGATCTGTACTTATACTTACGTTCTCGGTGCTCTCTGTGTCGGCGACTTCCACGCTACCGCCGGCGCCGCTCTCGCCGACCATGTTCACAAAGAACTCCGATCTGGAGAACCTGCCGATTTCCGTCGAGCCGAATGCCTGATGAAATCCAGGCAACGGTTGCTTACTGACGCTCTTCTTCTTCGACTCGGCCCTCTCTGCGGATCGTTGGAGCTCGCGCTCCTTTTCGCGCGATACGCTCGATTCCTGTTGCCAAAATAGATCAATTTTTCGTCTCGCAACGAACGGTATTTTCGGATAGCATAAATTGCTTATCGATTTCATTTGAAGACCAAGGGGGAGGAATTTATTATGTCCAATTTTTACCGAAATTGAAACATGCATGATGCCCTCAGGGGCTGTAGCGGTGTTTGTAGCTACAGTATGGGCTTAGCAACCCCGAGGTACCCTAGCTAGATGGGGACCAGTGGCCCCAACAGACGTGTACAAAATACAAGATCAACGTACATGTACACAGTTGCGATAACGCAAACTGAGCCAAAATTAAAGAGTTATGTAAAGCATTTATATGTCACGAAGAGTAGAAATAATTGTATTGTGATGTATGGATTCAGTGCAATAACTGAAGTAACAGTTACGCATTTAAAAGAACCAAGCAACCAAGGAACTTGCATGCCATTTAGCGGAAAAAGAGGCAAGGAATCGATTTATGCAATCGAAAAATCGATGTAATCAACCGTTTTGACAGAAAAGAGAGGGAAAAAATGGCTGTAAGGGCGAAAAAGTAATTATGTCCGCTTTGGATAGATATTCGTTATTCTTTGTTTTTTAATAAAATGGTTACCAGCTTAACTTTTTTTCACCTGATTCTTAAACTGGATATATTAAATTTCAAAATACATACTTTTGCCGAATTTTTAAACAACTATTTATGCCCCTAGGAGTTATGTAAACTACAATCACAATTTTCCAGATTCTTTAATTTTTGGACTTAATGAGTTTTTCCCCCTTGGTCTTCATTTCTAACCGATTCCGTACAAATTATACGAAAACTCCGCTCAAATATGGAAACACCCCCTCGATAAAAGTAAACCCATCAATTGGATCCTTAAACACTACAATTTCATGCTAGAATAGAAATGAAAGAACACACTTACGCACAACGCGAATTTATGGAATTGTGGATACAAACCGGAATTTTTGTACACAATTTTATTGGTGATAGATACAAATGCAAATGAAATGCCTTATTTTTGTACTTTTCTTCGACAGAAAACCTGACAGACCTGATTTCATTTGACTACCATATGAATAGTACACTGAAGAAGCCATTAAGATGGGAAAGATTTATTATAAAAAAAAAACATATCGAATCGAGTAACTTGCTCCTTTTCGAAGTCGGTTAAAAACGACACAACGCGCTGCAGTGGTTCAACTGTACTTGTACAATTGATTATTGGTACAGCCAACTACTTTTCTTCCTAATAATTTCCTAAGGAAAGTAGAAAGCTTCCTATCTGACGAAGAAAATGTATGAATGTGTTGAAGAAGAAACAAAAAATATACATGTCGAATAGAGTAACTTCCTCCTTTTCGAAGTCGGTTAAAAAGTACGTTGAAAAATAAGGCACTCAATTTGTATTTTTATCTATCACCGATAAAATGTCGTACAAACATTCCGGTTTATATTTGAATGATCCTCGTACATAAATATTCAAATATAAAATATCGTCGAAGTTATCGAAATGCCTATCTTCGTAATGATTGTCATTGGCATATGTAGCGACATCGTTTAAACCAGGCCATTCCAACTCAGGCCCTTGGGATCAGGGCGAACCGAAGCGTTCCTGTGTCAGCTCAGGGCGTTCCCCATCACAAGTTCTCATTCGCTCAATTATGTTTTCTTTCTTTCTCAGCATTAGTCGATAAAGAGTTCTCATTCGCTCGGTGATGGTTTCTTTCTTGGTCAACCTTTTACGACAAAACAATTGCACATTTCACGAGAAATGTCAGCGTGGCCCTTACAATGCCATGACTGAGCTTGGCTACGGTGACCTTTCAGTTGGAGTGGACTGATATAAACGGCCATTACTCTTACGATCTCCGAGTGTCCGCGAACCCTAATTTTATAAGTATTTTCCTACACGATTTGCCATTACATAAAACGTTACCGTTGTCGGCGCTAAGTTATCCATAGAGATTTCATTGTTGACGGAATTTGGCTCCCACCTAGGCCCTTCATCTTCTCGACGAGTCCTTAACGAGAGCGCGGAATCCACAACCGAGTCGACCGATGATTCGAGCAGTCTTGGTATCTGAAGTTAATTAAGGCATTTTTTAGTATGTTGGCATTTACGTTAAGTTACGTTATTCGGTATTCGTAATTTACGGTATTTTACGGTATTCGTTTCGTCCGATCCGTATACAAAGCGAGACAAAAGTTGCTATACGTTTTAAGAAATAATAAATAGTTTCGAAAAACAACTACAAGGTAAATAACATTATACGTATATAAACATAAATCCCGTGAAAAAAGAACCAATGCGAATTTTCGTTGAACGTATTTTCGATAAATATTCGTATGTAAATTTCTTTTTTCTCATATGAAAATTCAGTTGTTACCAATTTTATCTATCGAGTCACAAATAGAATCACATTATCTTTGAAACCTGTTTCATTTAATTTCCTCTCTAGTAAAACTCTTATGTCAACATTCGTTATCGATAAAACGTTTAGAAATAAAAAGTTTCAAGTTTAAAAAGTCATATTCGCTATAATGTTATAACTTTCTTTTTTACGAAATTGATAGTTCTTCCAGTATACGTATATTTTTGTATTTCGCTTTTGTTTCTCTTGATACTTTTCCAAGTAGACGATGAGTTTTGAGACTTGCACCGCGAGTATTATAAATAGAAAGGAAAGAATACCTGATGATCGGGAGACGAGTACGAGGCCTGCACGTTTTCAAGTTTATTCGAAGCGTACGGCAACCGTGTCGTTTCTTCCGGAAATCCGCAATGTCTACCGGGCAGACGATCCCGTAGGAGAACGGTATGCCGTGGTCCGCGAACTCCGATACTTCGCGGCGTAGCCGGGACATCTGTAAAATCGAAAAATATTCTTTTATTTTGTTACACCGATAATCGATAATCGAATAATATTCCTTTCTTCTATTACACCGATAATCGATAGTCGAATAATATTCTTTTCTTCTATTACACCGATTATTCTCGCTGTACTATACGATACACGAATAGCGGGAATCCTCGAGAGTAGCATAACCGTTAGGTTACGAGACACTTACGCGATAATACCCCGTGACAAAATTGGCCCCACGGTCCATGTCCATGTCCATGTCCGTGACCATGTCCATGTCCGTGACCATGTCCATGCGAACTCGGACTCTGAACGTTTGGATGAAGAATACCACCTATTTGCGTTGGGTGTGATGTCCTCGAATGCTGATGAGAACTTGCCCCGTTCTGGAATTGAAAACGAACAACGATGAGGGGTCGCAGTTTGAGTAAATTCCTAAAACTAACGTTTCAGAGAAAGTAAGCGTTAAGTACAAAACGAAATAAAAAGACACCTCTGGTTATCGATGGAGAGGATATAGACTATTCGGAACTTGTATGAGATTCCCCGATGACTATTATAGTCTGATTTGGATCGGTTCGGTTCGTTTCGAATCGGATATACGAATAACGATAACAAAAAGCGCGAATGACTCGCGCTTCCTGTTATTACATCGAGGTATCTTTTTAACACATTGACTGCAGCGCGTATTTTACGTGATTTGCCCATGACGCCAACATGAATTTTTTATTATGCGATGTATATTATGTTAAAATATTATCTACAGCAAATACAGTGAATTATATACTGCTGTTTAATGCATTTTTCGTGGTGGCGGTCACCAGTGACTCCGGAGGCGCTGTAGACCTTTTTTTGCGATTATCTGTTGTTTCAAACTGGTGGAAAGTGTGTTACGAACAAAATTCAAAACAGCTAGGAAGAATGAGAACAAATAATTGCACTAAAAAAGTTGCGACATATTGTGCCGACTGTTTAGGTTCACCTTTTCTTTGCCTACCGTGTTTCAATATAACTCATCATAGGGTGAACAAAAATAATATGTATTAGGTGGACTGGAAAGTAATGTCGTTACTGCGAATGTAAATTCTTATTTATCATTCATCAGCTCCTTGATTTTTATCGATCTGGTATTAAACATTTGCACACTAGATGGTAAAAAGCTGTCGACAAGAGCGAGAGTGATTACATAATTGATTAAAAATAGAAACTTATTAAGAATTTATTTGATTTTGATGTAAAGAAAATCACATTACTTTTCGGTCCCCCTAATATATTTTCCTTGTTATATTATTTAACTTGTAAAATTATTTGTTCGTGTTCTGTATGTCATTAATTTCTTCAAACCATTATAATAACAATGGTATTATCAGTATCGATATTTACTCTAATTATGTATTTTTTAATATTGGTCGCGTCGCCAGTTACCGGTGGCCCTCACAGCGCTGTAGCCAAGTTGAGTGCCGGACACCGGTGACACCCACGGCAGTCAACGTGTTAAATACACCAGTATGCGTTTCTCGACTCTATTATAATAGTTGTTTCTCTGTTAAACAAACTGTTTGCGACGCCTAGCGTCCAATATCTCCTTTGGTATCGTTTTACCAAAGAAGCTCACAATCAGAATACTCACTTGGTAAGGATGCCATTTTTGGCCGTCCGTGAATTCACCATACTCCGTCATGTTTTCCTGTCGGCGTAACTCTCGTTCCCGATTTATCTCGGTGAAATTAACGGGCGGATATCCGCCGGTGGAAAATGCACCACCGCACTCGGCGGCGGCGGCGGCAGCAGCGGCGGCCGCCGCCGCAGTCGCTACATTGCTTGCGATCTGATTCCTGCTCAAGTCCTTGCACTTATCTAGACCGCGATGATGCATCGAGCCCATCACTTGCAGTCTCTCGATCGGATCGGCAACGGTGCCGTACCAATCGGACATTCGCGGCGAGTGAATCGGTTTCGGTCGTTGCGTTGACTGGAACCACGGCTCCGCGGCACGTTCGGAATCCACGACCGCGTTCATCGGTACCCCAGCGGCGGACACGCAACCAAAACGGTGTTGGTGATCCAAAAAACCGGCAGAAGCTACGCCGACGCCGACGCCGACGCCGACAGGGCCAGCGATCACACCTGCTCGAGCGATCGCGCTCTGAAGAATCGACCGTCTCGACAGCTCGCGACTCTGTTCACGCATGGCCTTCCGCAGTCTCGCCTCCTTTGGATTGTACACGTAATCTGTCAACAATAACCGCATATAGTCATTTTACTTTTAAACATATTTGAACACTTGCATTCTATCTATTTAAGCGGGTATCCTGAATTAGGAGATCTAAAAAAAGCTGTTTTTCGTGAATTTTTTTAGGATGGAAAAAAATAATTAATTCTATCGAACTTTTTATCCTATTCTCATACATATTTGAGTAGTCTATACAAATTTTGTCAAGAGGAAATATTCAAATTGAGTCCACTGCGACGTACATTTGTAGAGCACCTCACAATTAAAGGCTCCTATCGGCGGGAAAGATGCAGGTCGTAATTTTAATTTGACACAGAAAAACCAAAAGAAATTTTCATTATCATACATTTTTCTTCTATGTGAACTAAGAAAATTCATATAAAAAAAATTGTATACAACTTTTTCATCAAGTTAAAGTGATTTTTTTTCACCCAAAGAACTCGTTCTTTTTTTCAAATTTGCTGTAATTTCACATTTCGCCATTTTTGCGGGTTTTTCTTAGTTCACATAGAAGAAAAATGTATGAAAATGAAAATTTCTTTTAGTTTTTTTTTTGCGACAAACTAAAATTACCACTTGCAGGATACCCCCTTGAAGCATTTTTTCTGCCGAAATAAAATGGCTAAGGAAGAAATAATAATAATAAAAATACAAAATCGAAGCCATTCTTTAGAATAGCGGCGTATGTCCATTTCTCTGTATGATGCGTCTTGAAACGTTTGGGAACGGGAACCCGTCGCACAGTGGTCTGGGAGCGGCAAAAAGCCCGGGTTTTAAACTGTTCAGAAAACTATTAGGTTCTCCCAAAAGTTTCTTCCATTTCCTTAAATAGCAACACATACACAATATTTTATGTCTAATGTTACAGTATTGAATTGCGTACCATTCCAATTTACTCCATTAATGTTACAACATTAACATCTAAGAAATTAGGTTGTCTATTTATATAAACCCTGCCACACAAAATAACCGAGTGCAAGTCACGGACAAAACTTTTGGGACAACCTAATACGTATACTACTTGATGGATAGTTAACCAACACATTCCAAACATTTAGACGCTGAAAAATTTGGGCTTCCAGGTCTTAAAATTATTTTATACGTAAAAGAACCCATTTCCAAGGCGTACAGATATTACATTTTTGAAACTATGAAATATATTTCATGTATTCCGTTGATTTGGGCAGAATTCTGAATGTATTTAAGTTGTCAGAAAGGCGTAATCAAGTTCGGGAATAAACAAATTATTTTACATTTTTTTTTTAATTTCGACGTAATAGGATAAACAATTAACAATATAGTTAAGCCAACGTGCGCCAAGACGCCATTTGCATCAAAATGTTCCTTGGACTCTCTAGTAAATATTGCTGAAAGAATCAGCTGCGTTTACTTGCGTCTTCGGAATATACAGAGTGGTTCGTTTAAATAAGGCCACCTAAATATCTCCTCTAATTGTGGAGGTACAAAAAATATTTGGTGTACTATTTAAATGGTTTGAAGATACCATTATATTGCAAATAATATTTTTTTCCGAAGATCATTTTTTTCTGAGTTATCAAGATCATAAATCATAGGTACAGGGAATGTGCTAAATGAATTTAGATTGACCCACAAGAGGTTTAAGACTATAAAAAGTAAGTTATTTTGATTTTTTTCTCAAAATAATAGTTTCCTATAGTTTTTGCCATTTTCATGCCTTTTCGACCACTGTGCGTCGCTCTGCTGTGCGTAGTCTCTAGTTTCTATCAATTTTTCACTCGTCGAGATACAAGATTAAAATTAAATTTCCCCGAAACATAAACTTTACTATAAACTATATTACAGGAATCGAAAAGGAAAACAATTCGATAAATATTACGAGAACGTAACGTTACGTTTCGCAAAGTGAGATGGAAGGACGATCTCTAGACGACGGAAATACAACTTTACGAAAGAAAATTTGTATATAAACGATATTTTAATTTTTCGTTTTATCAATGCTTCGCAGACGCACTCTAATTGATCACCTTAATAAGCTATAGTTTAGCTTATTAAAAGATAGCAAATTTTTCACGCGTTGTTCAGAATTCGACAAAATTTATTATACAACAATAACATATTCGCATAATCGTTTCTTACGAAATTTGTTTATTTCTACGTTTAGTCGATAGAAACATTTATAAATTGGAACGGAAATCGATCATTTCTCCCGGGTACGGGAGAATGTAAAAGCACGTTATCACTTGCTTCTGTGTGATACATAAAAGTTTGTTACTCGCCCGAGTAAAAAGCAACTAACATTTAATTTATGAGTAAAATTACATAGAGGGGTACGATCGATGTACAAAGAAAATATCATGTTGATCCCCGCGAATGTGAACGTTGAGAAATGCTGTTTTAAAGTAAAGAAATATTACTTTACATACATCGTTTCGAATGATTTTAAAATGTAAACGATAAGTAAAAGGAATCGACGATTTTGATGATTATGGTAGAAAAGAACGCGATACGTATAATGTACATCACGATATATCCGTGAAAGATCTACCTGTGGGGTAGGCAGGTGTAAGCGGTCCGTTATATCGGGCACCAGTCTCGATCGCAGCGGGGATCGGTGGCGGTTCGTAGCCGTTGTAGACAGCGTTCGCGTTATCGTAGCAAAAGTAGTGTTGCTGCTGATAAAAGTGACGCCCTCCCGCGTAAGCCTCGACGTAGTTGCAGCAGTCCATCTCTACGACAAAAGACGGTCCTTATCACGCCGCGAAGAAACGACTTCTTTTTCTACCGCTTATCAGAGAAACACCGGTGCGCAAATATCACCGCTGCAGACATACAGACACACACGGAGAAAATTCCTTCGACTCGAGTACTTTCTCGGGTTCTAGTGTATTTTTTGCGAATGGAAGAATTGCGAAATTGGCCCCTTCTTCGTTTCTTTTTTTTTATTTTTCTAAATCTTCATTTGCTTCTTTTTCTTCTCCGTCGTCTTCCCCCGTTGTTGTATTTTACTTTACTTTATTTTACTATATTTTATTTGACTTTACTTAAAACGTCTTATCGTCCGCGCGATCGAATCGAATCGAATCGAATTAACGTGGAAAAAGCACATAAAAGTTGGATGTATCGGGAGGCGTTCGATCGGCCTCGTGCATTCCGTAGGGAAGACCCAACGTTTGCAGTCCTGTCGCGCGTTGGCGTCATCGTTGCTACCAACGACGTCGTCCTTGTTCTCTCGATCGTCATCGTTGCGTTTTCAAGCTAACAACCGCCACCGGGTACTCGGAAGCGTTCGCTGCTCACCGGGAGCACTCCTACTAACTGTAGCTACGCCGATCGTGATCGCGTCTCCAGGGCCATCCGAGCCGCCGATTCCGCACTGCGTGCAATTCGACGTATCCAACCAGCAGCGTCATGGTAACTGCACCGAGGGACAAGATCGATGCTCGAAGCTTTTCCTTTTCCTCCAACGGGTTTCTCTCGCCGTGTTTTTTCCGCTTCTAATCAATTCAAACACTCCGATTGCGAATTTTCAATTATTTCGGTAAATCGAATCGAGGAAATTAAGTTCGACTCGCGAACGATTAAAATGTCTTCGATCGTATTCTTAATTTCAGTCTTTCCAACCACTGGATCCGAAATCAACCGAATTCATTTATCGGAAATCGATTCGAACCGATCGACACCACCCTCTCGAGTACCGATCGGGACAACTCGAATTACATTCGTCTCGCTATTCGCGCGTAACGCGTAATGTTCCTTTGGGATAGTGTTGATAACATATATATGTATATATCTGTAAATGCACACACTTACACGTTATCATCCGTATGGCAAGTCTGGTAGGAAGACTCGCGTCAATTTATTCTTTAGGATTTTTGTTTGTCCATCGAGCGATTCGAATGTTTCGAAGAAGTTGCAAGTCGTTTACTTCGATGTCACACCTGTCCTGCCGATAACCATACCTACGATACAGGTGGACCGTATTGACGCGTACATTAAGATCAACGTCACTTGGACCATCACGAATCACTGGTAACGTCACATGTTTTCAACGTTCTCTGCTAAACAACTAAAACTTTAAATACACTAATGGTTATCGTGGGCGATACACGGTAAGCCGTTCACTTCGAAGGTTTTAAATCCCAACGTGCGGTACCGAGCAAACTCATCGTCCTCGATTCGTAATGGAGTTTTTTTTACGCGGTATTTGTATTTTTGCTTCCCCCCCCCCCCCCCCACCCCACCACGGGAGATATTCGTAGCTCGCCCTCTCTATTTTTCCAATGGTTCCGCAAGAGGATCTGCCGTTCGAAACATCCCCGTTGCACCGACTCTTTGATCGGGTGCAACGATTAGCCTCAAACTCGATTATTTACTCGATCCTTCTCGCGGTGTCTTATTTGCCGAGTTGAGTTGCCTTTTCTCCGCGGTGTTTACACAGCCGTTTAACCTCGACAAACTAGGTGTTCGGATTAAATTAGTTGTCTCCGATTCACGATGCGAGAACCGTACCCCGAATCGCGTACTTAAAGATTAACGTAGTCTATGGTTTGTCAGTCGTTTGCTGGGATCGATCCAACAAACCCAAACTAGATGTTCGGACCAAATTCATCGACCGCCCAATTTATAGTAAATCCCCGCACGGATGACGTATCCTCGCTTTACGATTGCGATTGTGATTGCGATTGTGATTGCGGTTGCCCACTCGTTCGTTAGGATCGATTCAAACGATGCACACCGGAAGTAGGTATCGCAATTGAATTTTGTAATACCCGATTCGCGATCAATTCTCTCACGGATCGTGTACCCTCTGTCAAGAGTCGAGTAACCGTTTCGAGTAGTTAGCTAGGATCAATCGAAAGAATGGAATCCGAATCGAATTAGATGTTCGAATGGGAGGTCTCGACGACCTCGAAACGGTACGAATCCCTCCGCTGTACAATCGTATATCCTCGAGGGTCACTCGGTAGGTGGGTAGGATCGATTCGATCAACGTGAACCCAAACTAGGTGTCAGGATCGAATTCATCGTCCCCGATTCGCCGCGCGATGTATCCCTTTATGGGTTAGGTTGCGTATTCTCACTCGAACCGAAGGATCGTTGTTTGCAACACAGTTCCGCTACACGTACAACGTTAGACAGTTGTTCCAGTCGGTTTACCGTCTCGTGTATGCATTCGGCGACCTATTTACGCGAACGTCTCTCGGTATCTAGCTTCCAGTGGAAGAGACGCGCGTGCCGCAAGCGGGAACCGCAGGCCGCGCACGGGAGACCCGCGTTCCTTCCTCGCGGTGCACTCCGGTCGCACTGATTTCGCGGGCTCGAGCGCGGGCGCGGGCGCGGGCGCGGGTGCGGGCGGCAGCACCGTGCACGTCGACGAATTTACGTGCGTTTCGTCATCGACGAATCCAACGTCGGAGCTTCGAGGGTGGAGGGTGGTCGAGCCAGAGGGAGGTTTTCCCCACCCTTTCGGGGCGGAGGGGTGGCGGACGCGACGGAAGAGGAGGAGGAGGAGGAGGAGGTCGGAGTCACGAGGAGACTAGAAACGTTGCTGGCTCCGTCTCGCCCTCTGCATGGAATAAAGAAACCCTTCCGCCGTCTATCGACGTTCGTCGTCGTTTCCTCCTTGATCCTTTTGAATCTTTCTCGGGAATTGAACGAAGGTTTCCCGTCGGCGCGACGCTCGAACCGTTGGACTCGTTTCGGAAGCTGATCGATGTACCGTGTTATTCTTGCTCTCGTTCCCTCCACCGCTGGCCATCATCGATTAGCTCAAGTTTGAACGAACCGGCAGTTTGGACGATCCGCTTAACCGTTCGCTCACGGAATTGGATCAAATTCAACTTTTCTCCGTATTTTTTTATACTCGAATAAATAACGTTACTTCGACGTCTGCTGTCGCATACAACAAAGAGCATGTCGTATACGTAACGTTATCGCTCAACGTTTCACCCCATCGGATCTTTAGATGACGCGATGTTTCGCGAAAATAAAAAAATAAATGGGTTACAAAGTTTGGTATTTATATATAGATACGCGTATGCGTGTACATACGTATACGTTGAACCGTTTCGCTTTGAGGTCTATTTACACATATCCGTAACGTGTCAGTTCCGTATCCGTACCGTGTCAATAACGTCAAGGAGCGGTGTCGGACGTGTGTGAACATGCCCATTCAAAATAACAGAAGAATATTTAAAATCACTGACACTGATGGAACATTACGGAATTGAACGGATACGGAACTGACACGTTACGGATATGTGTAAATAGACCTTAATTCGTCAAGAGTATTGTATCGCTGGGTAATCGTGAAATATGGGTGACCGTTCTATTGTACGCGGTGATCCTATAAACCGAGTTAAGCCTTAACTCTTTTCTAAACAATGATGGAGAGTATCTTTCGATAGAGTAATTTTTCATGTATCGTAGTACAACAGTGCAAGTAACATGCACGTGTACTCGCATTTCTTTTTTAAATAGATATTTCGATTTGATTTTGTTTTTATACATATATATCGATTCCTTGGATCGATCCACGTATAACGGTGCGTTCAAACGTATACAGGGTGTCCCAAAAGTCGGGGAGAAGCCGGAAATGGGGGGTAGCTGAGACGATTCTAAACAACAATTTCCTTTGCAAAAATGTCGGATGGGGCTTCGTTAAGGAGATATTAACCGAAAACCT